ATTGGCCAGCAGAAAAATTGTGTAAGAAGTAGAAAAGTAAGGACAAATGGAGCAATGGTCTGTGTATTCACGCTTGGCTGGAATAACTCCCTCAGCTGCAGAAAAGAAAATCTAGAGAGATGTTAGGGAGTTCTAAGCTTGAAAACGGAGCTCTGTGCATTGTGTTTGAAGGCTCACAAGCAGGTGAGGCTTATTTTATTGGAAATAAGAAAGCATTGTTTAACCAAAGGTACGTGTGCTTACAGTGGTTGGATGGAACTACTGCCAATGCTTTTGCTTTGTGTGATTGGGCAAAAAACTTCTAAAGCGAGTCGTAGCATTGAGTTCTTGGTCTGCTGCCGGGGATGTGAGCTGCTGGCATCTTCCCATTGCCGTAACCATGGGATGGGACTGGAGCTGGAAAATAAAACGGCTCGAGACGCCTTCCCCAGCAGTCCCGTCCTGTCGGTGATTTGTACATGGATCCCAGAGTGCAACACCATTTTCCATCAGGAAAAACCACAAAAGGAAGGAACCACCCAGGAAAAACAAACTGGGCCTGGAGATAAGAGCAATGGGAGATAAGGGAAAGGATCAAACGCTCTTCCCTGCTCTTTCCTTCCTCTCCGCTTCCTGCCGGGAGCAGCTCTGCCCTCCCATCTGGACTTCTGGTGACAACAGAGCTGGGATTCATCAGGGTCAAGTTTTTCCTGAGGTTTTCCAATGGTATCAGCCCTGAAATCCTAAATTCACATATTCTTATCCGTGCTGGAGAGTCCCGGTTTGTCAGGAGATGCCACAGGAATTTTGAGCCTCAGGAACAGGTTGGTCCTCAACCCGGATGACAAGGCCACAAAAAACTCCGAACTCAATCATGCCAAAAGTGAGATTTTCCATGTTTTCCAGAGGCTCCAGCCCTGAAAACTTAAATTCACGTGTTATATCCTGTGCTGGAGAGTTCTGGGTTTGTCAGAAGGCACGGGAATTCTGAACATCAGGAACAGGTTGGTCCCTGATCCAGCTGACAAGGCCACAAAAAATCCAAATGTTTGAGGTTTTCCATGTTTTCCAGAGGCAACAGCCCTGAAAACCAAAATTGATGAGTTTTATCGAGTGCTGAAGTTGGAGAGTCCCAGATTTGTCCCAGGAAATGTCACAGGAATTCCAAGCCTTGGGAACAGGTTGGTCCCTGATCCAGCTGACAAAGCCACCAAAAAATCCAAACTTAATCATGGCAAAAGCGAGGTTTTCCAGGTTTTCCAGAGGCACCAGCCCTGAAAACCTAAAATGATAAGTTTTTATCCAGTGCTGAAGCTGGGGATTTCCAGATTTGTCCCAAAAGATGCCAGAGGAATTCTGAACCTTGGAACAGGTTGGTCCTTGATCCAGCTGACAATGCCACGAAAAAATCAGCTGGAAAAGCTGATCCAGACCTCAAAAAAAAAAAAAAAACCCAGAAGTTTCAGGTCATCCCTGTTCCCTCATTTTCTCCATCCCTCAGGGAATCTCATGATAAAATCCTGGAATTTTAATTAGAAGGGGCCAATGAGGATCATAGAAGTCCAAGTCTTGCCCTTGCATTTGATGGGATGGGATCATCCTTCAGGTCCCTTCCCACCCAATCCATCCTGGAATTCTCTTACCCCACAAACAGGAGAACATTTGAATTCCAAATCCACACTCCCATTCCCACCTCCCCCATCCAGCTGATCCAGCCTTATCCATCCACAATTCCCACCAGCCTTCCTTTTCTTCTTTAATTTTTTTTTTAATGAATTTGGCCCAAGGTATTTCCTTGTAAATTGGAACGCGATTTTTTTTTTTTCCATGATTTCCATGGATTTAAAAAAAAAAACCCAAACCCCAACCGTGGTTACAACCAAGGAGAAAGGGGGGAAAAAATATTCTGGGAATTTGGTGTGCTTGGAAGCAGAAAACCAAAAAAAAAAAAAAAAAAAAAAAAAAATGTGGAAAACCAGGCAGCCCCAAGGACATGGAGAGCGGCTGGCATCGGGATCAAGAATTTCACCCTCTGGGATACAACAGGGGCGGCTCCCAAGAAGTTTCCTCTCTTTTTGGGATGTGTTTTCCAAGCTTGACTCACCTCCAGGAGCTGGAAAGGCTCTGGAGAGGATGTGGGTAAGGAAGAATTCCCAAATCCAGGAATCAGCTCTGATGATCCACGGAGAATTTGGAGGTTGTTCCTCCATGCCTGAGGTCTCCGGAACCTCCATTTTGGGTCCTGTTCCCACATTTGGCACCTGGGACACCATTCCCACATTTGGAATCCCTCAAATCCCTCAAATTTTGGGATTCCCCTGTGGAATTTTAAGCTGGTGTGGGATTCCACAGATTTCGGGACCTACAACCACAAAAGGAGTCAGGAATACGGCACAAAGAGTCCCAGAAAATTCCAGAATGGTTTGGGATGGAAAGGACCTTAAGGATCATCCCATTCCAATCCACCTCCCATGAAAAAAGAGGTGGGAATAGTGGAAAGTGTCCCTGGGGATGGGGCTGGATGATCCTAAAAATTCCCTTCCGACCCAATCCATTTGGGAATTCTATCCAGCAGCACCTCCAGCCCCTGTCTTCCAGCTGGGTGTTCCCAGCATGTCCAAATTCCTGGAATTGCTCCTCCCCAGGGCAGGATTTCTTCTTGTTAAATCCATGAGGATCCCACCAGCCCAATTTTCCAGGATTTTGAGGCCCCTCTGGAATATCAGCCACTCATCCCAGCCTCACTGAAGATTGTGGAATTCCAGAATGCTTTGGGTTGGAAGCTTAAAACTCATCCAGGCCACCTTCCAGCAGGGAATATTTTCCATATTTTTTAATCCCAAATAAAGCCATCCTAAAGCCCAACCCCACAAAATCCATGAAATGCCATTCCACAGGAAAACAGGGATGGATTTTTCCCGCAAATTCGCAGCCAAGTGAAGACAGGAGAGAAAATCACAATTCCAAGAGATTTAATAAGAAGGAATTACAGGTGGAAAATCCTTCTGGCACATGGAATTCAGCCAATGTACAGCTCCAGGATGGGTTTCCCAAGGAATATTCCAAGTTTTTTGGGATATGTTGGACTCGACGCAACCCACAAAATACGGAGTCGGCGCTAAAACCCCACGACAATAAAAAATATGGCACAAAGAACACCCAAACCCCGCTCAAATCCAAAAGATTTCCTTTTGGGAATTCTGGGTTGGACTCATCCCGCTCCCAGATCCCATGCCAGCCTCAACAAACACGGACTTGGTGCAAAATCCACTTGGAAATCCATGGAAAAATGAGGTGCAGGAGCTTCCTTTTCCTCACGGTAAACCAGCAGCAATCTAGGGGCGGGAAACAACAGGAGAAACTCCGAGAGGATTTTATTCCCAGGAAATAATTGATGGATACGGAATTAACACCGGATTTTCCAATAAAGTGCATGCCAGGAAAAACTTGGAACAAATTTTACTCCAGTCCTAACTAAGCAGAAGAAATACAAACCTTGCAAACAACACCCTCGACACGGCTCGGTGTCTTTTTCTCCCAAAATTAGGCTGGATTCCAAAAAAACGGAAAAAATTCCCAGGGAATCCAAGGATTTGAAGCTTCACTGTTTAAAAATATTGCACTGGAAGTGTCGGATTTGAAAGCGACACCAAAAATACTTAAATTAAAATGTAAAAAATAATTTAAAACTAAATATTCAACAACAGCTCCTTGGAGGTAAAATAGCTGGAAAAGGTAGGGATTGATGAAATGGGAATTTTTCCTATGGAATATCAATAATTTAGGAGGGGAATCTCTGCTCTCAACAGAGCCAAGTGTAAACTTCAGACTTTAATTGAAAATACTCCCTTTTTTTTTTTTTTACGAATTCTGGAAAAGCCTTGAAATGTTTCATCACCACTGAGTGCAAATAAATAAAAAAAATCAGGATCAGCTCCTAAGGATTTTAGGGAAAGAGATGGAGAGGGAATTCATGGGCTGGAAAGCAGCAAAATGAAAAAGCACATTAATGAATTAATTAATTAATTAAGTCAGGTTTTGTCACATCCCTTCCTATTTACAGGGTTTGGCAGTGGAGAATCCACGAGGTCTGTTTCATCCCAACTGGAAACTTGGATCTTTCCACCCAAAAAAAGCTTCCAAACTGTCAGGTTTTGTCACATCCCTTCCTATTTACAGGGTTTGGCAGTGGAGATATCCACGAGGTCTGTTGCATCCCAACTGGAAACTTGGATATTTCCACCCAAAAAAAGCTTCCAAACCTCATCCAAGATCCAAACCTCATCCAAGGTCCAACTGTGATCCAAGACCCAACCCACATCCAAGATCCAAACCTCATACAAGGTCCAGCCGTGATCCAAGACCCAACCATCATCCAAAATCCAAACACTGTCCCAGATCCAAACCTCATCCAAGGTCCAACCCTGATCCAAGATCCAACCGTGATCCAAGGTCCAACGATCATTCAACATCCAAACCTCATCCAAGGTCCAGCCATGATCCAAGATCCAAACCTCATCCAAGGTCCAACTGTGATCCAAGATCCAAATGTGATCCAAGATCCAACCATCATTCAATATCCAAACCTCATCCAAGATCCAAACCTCATCCGAGGTCCAGTCGTGATCCAAGACCCAACCATCATCCAAAATCCAAACACTGTCCAAGATCCAAACCTCATCCAAGGTCCAACCATGATCCAAGATCCAACCCACATCCAAGATCCAACCATCATTCAACATCCAAACTTCATCCAAGATCCAACTGCCGTGATCCAAGATCCAACCATCATTCAATATCCAACTGTCCAAGATCCAACCGTGATCCAAGATCCAACCATGATCCAAGATCCAACCCACATCCAAGATCCAACCATCATTCAACATACAAACCTCATCCAAGATCCAACTGATATCCCATATCCAAACATCATCCAAAATCCAAACACTGTCCAAGATCCAACCGTGATCCAAGATCCAACCATGATCCAAGATCCAACCACCATCCAAGATCCAAACCTCATCCAAACCTCATCCAAGATCCAAACCTCATCCAACATCCAACTGCCATCCCAGATCCAAACATCATCCAAAATCCAAACACTGTCCAAGATCCAAACCTCATCCAAGATCCAATCATGATCCAAGATCCAACCGCCATCCAAGATCCAAACGTCGAACCATCATCCAACATCCAAACCTCATCCAAGATCCAACCGCCATTCAAGATCCAAACCTCATCCAAGTCCAGGAATCGTTTCAATCCTCTCAGGAACTCACCCCCAGCAGCGCCATTTTCCAGACCTCCTCCCAAACCCCTCCCAAAGTGTCTGTGGAAAAACCAGTCCTGAAAATCCCGGCTCCCCCACCCTGCTGCTCTTCCCGGCGTTCCCGTTCCCGCCGGGAAGTTACGTCAGCTTCCTCATCCTGCGGTTCTGCCGATCGATGTTGAGCGTGGCGCGATCCACGGCGCTGCCGATGGAATCCAGGGCCTCGTCCTGCCTCTCCAGCTCCGCTTCCGTCTCCAGGGCCAGGCCCTTGAGCTTCCTCAGGATCTGCCAGAGGGGAACACGGAGAGCTCGCGGTTAGGGCTTCGGAAAAATGGGATTATTCGTGGTTTGACATCCCAGAATTTGGGTGGGAAGGGTTGTAAGGATCATCCAGTTCCAATCAGGGACACTTCCCACTGTCCCAGCCTGCTCCAGCCTGGCCTTGGACACTTCCAGGGATCCAGGGGCAGCCACAGCTGCTCTGGGAATTCCATCCCGGCCCCTCGCCACCCTCCCAGGGAATTCCTTCCCAATATCCCATCCATCCCTGCCTTCTGGCAGGATATTTTTCCCCATTAGAAAAAAATTAAATGAAATCAATTAAAATCTAATAAAATCAAAGAAATAAAATGTAAAAGAAGAAATAAAATAAAAAATTAAATAAAATAATAATAATAGCATAAATAAAATAGACTAAAAATAAATTTAAATCAAATAAATACAATTCAAAACTAATAAAGTAAATAAATATATGTAAAAATATATATAAATACATATAAATAAATATAAATGTATATATAAATATATAAATATATTTCTACATATATATAAATAAAGTAAAAAATTAAAACCAATTATAGTTAAAAAACAACACAAATAATATAAAATGAAAATAAAATAAATATAAAAATAAATAAAATTTTTAAATAATTATTTAAAGAACAGAACAACATAAAACATAAATAACATAAATAGAAAACAAAAATAAAAATAAAACAAAAATATAAATGAAATTAAATAAAATGAAACGACATTAAATAACAAATTTTAAAAATAATAAAAATTTAAAAAATGTTTAAAAACAAAATTAAATAAAACCAAAATAAATTCCTGTAAAATACCATCCAATAAAATAGCTGGAAAACTGCAGGCAAATGAATTAGCAAAGAATTCAGAAAAAATAAGAGGTCAGAGGGAAAAAAATTAAAAAGAGGAATTTTTCTCTTTAAGTTCCATGAGACAGTCCTGAAAAATCCATTTAAGGAAAAATATCCAACTGCACTCCTTGAAAAACTGTTTTTCCAGTGAAATCTCAGGAAAAAATTCCTTCATTTCCTGGAATCCACACTGATTTCCTAAATCAAAGTCCTCTATGGGTGTTTAGGGAATATTTTGTGGAATTTTTTGGAATAAGAGGGAAAAATCCCCAAATATCTGTAATCAAATGATTAAAATCAGGAATTTTCATAGCTCACATTCCAATCAATTTTTTTGATCAAAAAATCCAAGCCAAATGAAAAATTACCCAGGAATTTCCATGCCAAACTCGAGGAATATTTCAAATATTCCCACAGGGATCAATTGGCAGGAATATTTGAGAAAGGCAACAAAGAAATGAAGGAATTCAACAATTCCTCCCCTAAAAATTCAATGTTTTTAATGACAGCATGGGTGAGGGATTGAGTCTGTCACCAGTAAATCTGCAATGACACCACAATCCTGTGGGAAATTAATTTATAAACAATCCTGTGGAAAATGAATTTATAACCAATTCTTAAAGCTTGACAGAAGGTTCACACATCTCTACGTAAATTTTGAGACAAGAAATGCTGACTTAGAAATGCCATGGAATAGGACAGACGTTGTTGAGAAACAAATGGAATTAGAAAGAAGTTTTAAAGGATGGTTTTGTAAATAAAACGAGATATTTTTGAGGAATAGAACTATGAAAGATGTATTGCAGTAGGATTTATGAGGGGTAATTCTAGATGATTGGCTTTAAGGCATTTTTAGTATAGTGTTACAAAAGTTGATAGGCCAAGAAACACTTATAGGGTATTTTAATTAGGAAATAATTGGGTTTTGACTGTAATGGTATGAATTATAACATCTGTATTGTCTCACCCTTCACACGAGACTGAAAATGGAATAAAGGTTTCTAAAACACCTCTCAGTTGCCCCAGCTCTGGGTCAGAAAAGAGCTTAATCTGACACAATAGGATGGTTCCAACCTGAACATTCTGGGAATTCTGTGAAATTCCATGCCCATTTTTACCTGTCGGAGCTCCTTGGCTTCCTCCTGGGATACTTTCTGCAGCTGCACCTGCTCCTTGTCCGTCCCTTCGGCGCTTCCCGCCGGCAATCCGGGATTCACCGCGGCTCCCAGGAATCCCGTGGCTGCCAGAGAAATTCCATAGTAAGGAAAAAATCCTGCCTGGAAAGGAGGGAAAGCTTCAGGAATTCCCAGAGAAGCTGGGGAATCCCTGGGAATGTCCAAGGGTAGCTTGGGATAAGGGAATTGCTGCTCGTGCAATCCTTAAGGATCGTTCTGGAATTCTGGGATCAAAGTGGTTGGGCTGTGTTTTGCTCCATGGGAATTTGGGAGGAATCAGGATGCAATTTTTCCCATTAAATTCTGGTTTTCTGGCAATATTCAAAGTGTATTCCTCACAATTTCTCTTTATTTTTCTCCTTTTTTTCAATTTTCTCTTTATTTTTTCTCTTTTATTTTTCTTAATTTCATTTTTTCTCTTTTATTTTTTCTTCATTTTATTTTATTTCATTTGATTTATGTTTTCTTACTTTATCTTTATTTTTATTCCATTTTTTATTTTATTTATGTTATTTTATATTATTTTCTTTTTTAAGTAATTATTTTTAAAATTTCATTTCTCATTTAGGGAGCCTTTGGTAAAGAGGACAGTTTGGCATGTGGGGGGATTCATGGGAATTCTCAGCCATTTTTTTGGATACAATTGGATCAAAGCTGTTCCAAAATTTCCATGCTTACCCCAAAAGAAAACCAGTGGGAAAAAGTGTAAAGCAGCTAAAAAAATTCCAGAAAATAATTATTATTATGTAGTAGTAGTAGCACTGTTGTTATTATTGTTATGGCTATTGTCATATCAATTACAATAACAGCCAATTAATACATAATTAATAATATTTTTAAATAAAAATAGCCAGTAAGCATTAGATAAAAATAATTCCCTAAATTCCTTTTCCACATGGAATGAAGCCAAAATGGACTTTTTTGGGAATTTCTATAAATTTAGGCATAACCTGAAGGCAGGATTGCTGTAAACAAAAGAGCCAGGCGGGATTGTGGCAGTTTAGAGGGAAAATCCAGAATTTTCCCAGAGATTTCCATGCCCTGCAGGGATATTTCTCCCAAAAATCCTTGGATAAATTCTCTATTGCAAAACACAGAGATGGGAACAGAAAAATCTAATTTTTTTTTCCCCTCCTGATTTGAGAAAAAGGAAAAAAATCAGAAAAAAAAATAAGGAAAAATCAGTTTTCCATGGAAAAAATCCAAAGGATCCCACACAGTCCGTGAGTGCCACCTTGTGACAGAATGGGAAGGGTGACAAATCCAAGGAAAACACAAAAAAAACCTGGAAAATCAGGATTTCCATCAGCTCCCCTCTGCTTCCCAAGGTTTTCTAAATTAACCAGGGAAGGAGAACAAAATCCAGCTGGAAAACAACGGGAAAACCCCTGGAAAAGGGCTGGAGATCCAATTATTTCCTGGAATTCCATCAGGAACTGGGAATTTTTTTGGGATTACAGGAAATTCCGGAGGCTAAAATTCACTTCCTTAAAAATCCAGCAGCTTTTCCAAGCTGGAATATTCCTCAAAACCAGGATGTTCCCTTCCCTGCTGGAATTCCAACCAGAAATTGGTGGAATTTATGAATGTATCCCAATTTTCCAGTTGGTTTTGGCACTGGATCTGTCTTTGATTTGCTCCTTTGGGATTAAAAATTAGGAAAAAAAAAAGAATTCAGGGATGTTTGTAGGAATAAATTCCACAGTGCTGAAAATTCCCAAGGTTGAGCTAAAAAAACCCCATCCTGGAATTTCAGGATTAATAGTAGGGAATGTCAATTTTCTTGTTGGGAATTTTCAGGCACCAAAGTTTTCTTAAAATCATTCCAAAATCTCTGGAATTTCCACATCTGGACTTGTCCAATATCAAAATCCTGGGGTTTTAATATGGGAAAATCACATTTATCCCACGTTCTGATTCAAGATTCCTGGATATTTGGGGTAAATATTCATGATTTAAGGGAATTAAAGGTTTAATATAAATATTGGATATGGGATACTGGATATGGGATACAGGATACTGGATATGGAATATTGGATATGGGATGTGGGATATTGGATTTTAATTATTGGATATGGGATATTGGATTCTGGATATTAATTACTGGATATTGAGATATTGGAAACAGGATGTGAGATATTAAATATTGGATATGGGATACTGGCTATGGAATATTGGATATTACCCATTGGATATGGGATACTGGCTATTGGATATTGAATATTGACTACAGGATATGGGACCTTGAATATTAAATACTGGTTATTATTTATTGGATATTAATTATTGGGTATTGGATATTAAATACTTGATATTGGATATGGAATATTGGATCTTAAACACTGGATAGAGAACATTAAAAATTAGGGATTAAATACTGGATATTGGATATGGGATATTGGATATTAAATACTGGGTATTGATTATTGGATATTAATTATTGGGTATTGGATATTAAATACTGGATATTGGATATGGAATATTGGGTATGGGAAACTGAATACTGAATATCAGATGCTGGACATGGGATACTGGATATTGAATATTGGATTATGGGATATTGAACACTGACTACCAGATATGGGATATTGGATATTAAATACTGGGTATTAATTATTGGGGATTGGATATTAAACACTGGATATTGGATATGGAATATTAGATATTAAACACTGGATACAGAACACGGAATATCCATTATTAAATATTGGATACCAGGTATGAAGTATTGTATATTAAATATTGAATACTGGATATGGGACACTGGATATTAAATACTGGGTATTAATTATTGGGGATTGGATATTAAACACTGGATATTGGATATGGAATATTGGATATTAAACATTGGATAGAGAACATGGAATATCCATGATTAAATACTGGATGCCAGATATAAAATATTGGATATGGGATAGGAATATTGAATATCAGATGTTGTACATGGGATATTGGATATTAAATATTGGATATTGAACACTGGCTATTGGATATTGGACACTGACTACTAGATATGGGATATTGGATATTAAATACCGGGTATTAATTATTGGATATTAGTTATTGGGTATTGGATAGCAATTACTGGGTGTTGGTTATTGAATATTGGATATTCCCTTCCAGCTGGGAATTAACTCCAGGAAAAGCAGCAGCAGTGCCAAAGGCTCGGAAGCCACCTCAAGTTTATTCCATGGATTTATCATGGACTCGCTCACCATGGTCTCTGGAATACCGCTTGGAAAAACCTCTGGAGCCTGGAACCCCCTGGCACCCACCTGCCTGCCAGATGGACGTTCCCAAATCCGCCTGAGGGGACTTCCTGGCTCCAGCAAATCCAAGAGCATCCTCCAAAAATTGGATTTTCTTGCTGAACTGCATCTCCAGGATGGGAATGACCTCCGGCATGCGCGCCGCCAGGAGCCGGTAGGAAGTGTCGGGCTTGCCGATGAACCTCTGCCGGATGCTGATCTCGTAGGGAGTGTGCACGCGGATGTCATCCACATCCCGGGATTCGAAGCGGTGCAGGAGCTGGGAATTGCAATCCTTGATTTCCAGGCCGGAGGGAAGCACCGTGAGTTTGCCGGGTTTGGCGTTGGAATCTGTCCTGTGGGTGATGATCACGGGGATTCGCAGCAGGATTCCTTCCTGGTTTTTGGCATCCGGAGCAGCGGGGGTTTCCTTGGGCTTTGCTTCCAGAGGGGTTTTCCAGAGTTTGGTGCTGAAGGGCCACCAGGAAGGAGATTCCAGCTCTGTTAACAGCCTGGAAGAGGGAAGGGAGGGTTGGGAGAGGGAAAAGCTCTGGATGTTCCAGCAGTTCCAAGAAAATCCCCATGGACACGGAAATTCCTTAATCCCTCCTCAAACCCATCCATAATTTCCCAGGATCCAGGCAGTTCAAACCCCACCTTCTCCTCATAATCCACTGGAAAAACTCCCAGAATCCCAGCTGGGAGGGAAGGAATGGAAATGGATTTTTCCAGGCCCCTTTCCACATGTCTGTTCCACAATATTCCCACTCCTGCCCAACCATCACCATTCCCAAGGCCTTTTCCTGCTCTTTTTCCTTTACCCCCCTCAGCCTGACGCCTCTTCCTTTGCACAACACCCAAATTCCCAGAAAAAACACTAAGAATTCCAGCTTGAGACACCAAAATCCAGCAAAAAATTCCCAGAAGTGTCCAGACCCCACCTTTCCAGCAGTGTTGGGGCAGCTCCCTAAGGAAAACATTCCCAGCAAACAGGGAAGGGAACCAGAGCTGGAATTGTTCAGGTTCAGCTCCTGCTCCGAGGACAAGGAAAATATTCCAGGTTTTTTCAAAGGAAAACCAACAATAACCATCCCTAAAATCCCAATTTAATTCTGTTTTCATTCCCTGTTTTAAGTCCATTAAAACCCTGGGATACTCCCAGGAATCCCCTGCTCCTTAAATTCAATAAAACTGGGAAGAGCCCTCTGGAATTCCCTGCTGCAGCTCCCAGATGGGTAATGTTTAGCCACCCTTGAATCCATGGAATTCCAAGTCCCTTCCCACACTCCGAGTCCTTTCCCATTCCTTTCCTCTCCTCGTGCTCCAGAGCTGCATTCCCCTCACTCCTGCTGGAATTTTATCCAGAGGCTTCCAAGATAAGGAAATACTTGGCACAAACATTCCCAGGAGCCCTGGCTGTTCCCACTCCTGACAACTCCTGCTTTTCCCAGGCATTTTCCCAGGAATGGAACATTGGATACATTTTATTCCTAGGGAGCAGGGCACGGGTGGAAGGAGATTGTGGCACTCCTGAATTCCCAGAGCTGAATTCCCAACATTCCCTGAGCTCATGTTGGACTGGAAAGGATCCTAAGGATGATCCCATTCCATGACAGGGAATTCCCACTGTCCCAGGGTGATCCAGCCAGGCCTTGGGCACTGCCAGGGATCCAGGGGCAGCCACAGCTGCTCTGGGAATTCCAGCCCAACCAGGAATTGCCAATATCCCATCCATCCCTGCCCTCTGGCACTGGGAGCCATTCCCTGTGTCCTGTCCCTCCATCCCTTGTCCCCAGTCCCTCTCCAGCTCTCCCGGAGCCCCTCCAGGCCCTGCAAGGGGCTCTTGAGCTTTCCATGGATTTTCCCCTTCTCCAGGGGAACACTCCCAGCTCTCTCAGCCTTCCCTCACTGAGCTGCTCCATCCTTCCAATGAAAAATCCAGTTTCATTTCCCAAAGCCCTTCCCCAGAAATTCCAGGCCCACCAAACCATTCCCAGCTCAGGGAACGTTCCCATTCCGAACCTGTCAGCCACATCCATGTCCCCCTCGATCTTGTGGAGTCCCTTCATGATGTTGTCAAACTGTTCCCCCTGGGAATGCAGCACCTTGGCCGTGTCCTCCAGGCGTTTCTGGGATCCCTCCAACATTCCCGTTAATTCCTTGCCCTTGCTGGATTCCAAGGCCGCCCCCGCTCCGGCCTCCTGGCTGGACACCAGCTGCTCCCTCCAGAAATGCTCCAGGATGTTGAACACCACATTCCTGTTGGGATGCAGGGAGCTGAACCAGTGCTTGGTGCCCTTCTCCAGGATGGTGAGGGAGCTGAATATTAAATGGGAAGATTCCTTCTTGATCTCGCTGATCCCGGAAAGATGGAAATCCACCAGGAGCTCTCCCGTTTTGTCAGCAGTGAATTTGATGGAAAGGGGAGTCAGGGAGAGCTTCCCGGGGATCCATTGTTTGCTGGTGTCCAGGTAGTAGGAGCAAGGCCAGGAATGGATCCGGATGTCCTCGTTCATCAGCTCGCTCTTCCCGGCCTCCTCTCCCAGGGAAACGCTCTCCAACCCAGCGGGAGACACTAAAATCCAAGGGGAAAAAAGCAGGAATCCTGAATAAACACACAGGAATTTACCTGGCTCCTGGCTCTTTTCAGCTGGATATCCAAGGAGTTTGGGAAGCATTTCTAACCACAGGAATATTTGCTCTGGAAATGATCATTAAGCATTTGCTCAATAATTCCATGGCATATTCCCATTCCCAGCTCAACTGAGCTTCCCACAGATCAACACACACTGAGAAAAATCCAGGATAGTCCAAAATTCCAGATTTCCTATGGAAAGTGCTGTCAACATCACTGGCCACGCACCTTCCCAATAATTCCATCCATATCCTGGAATATTCTCATTCCCAGCTCATCCTCAGCTTCCCGTAGATCAACACGCACTGAGGAAAAACCAGGATATCCTAAAATTCCAGATTTCCTCTGGAAAGTGCTGTCAACATCACTGGCCATGCATTTTCTCAATAATTCCATCCATATCCTGGAATATTCCCATTCCCAGCTCATCCTCAGCTTCCCACACACCAGTGGTCACTGAAAAAAAATCTAGGATAGCCCAAAATTCCAGATTTCCTCTGGAAACGCCCATCAACATCACTGGCCACGCACCTTCCCAATAATTCCATCCATATCCTGGAATATTCCCATTCCCAGCTCATCCTCAGCTTCCCACACACCAGTGGTCACTGAAAAAAAATCTAGGATAGCCCAAAATTCCAGATTTCCTCTGGAAACGCCCATCAACATCACTGGCCATGCACCTTCCCAATAATTCCACTCATATTCTGGAATACTCCCATTCCCAGCTCATCCTCAGCTTCCCGTAGATCAACACGCACTGAGGAAAAACCAGGATATCCTAAAATTCCAGATTTCCTCTGGAAAGTGCTGTCAACATCACTGGCCATGCATTTTCTCAATAATTCCATCCATATCCTGGAATATTCCCATTCCTCTTACCGTGGCTTCCCACGGACCAACAGGCACCAAGGAAAATCCCATATATCCCAAAATTCCAGATTTCCTCTGGAAACGCCCATCAACATCACTGGCCATGCACCTTCCCAATAATTCCACTCATATTCTGGAATATTCCCATTCCCAGTTCATCCTCAGCTTCCTGCAGACCAACACGCACTGAGGAAAATCCAGGACAGCCCAAAATTCCAATTTCCTCTGGAAAAGCCCAACAACATCACTGGCCATCCCATGTACCCAATAATTCCATCCATATCCTGGAATACTCCCATTCCCAGTTCAACTGAGCTTCTCACAGATCAACACACACTGAGAAAAATCCAGGATAGTCCAAAATTCCAGATTTCCTCTGGAAAAGCCCAACAACATCACTGGCCATCCCATGTACCCAATAATTCCATCCATATCCTGGAATACTCCCATTCCCAGTTCAACTGAGCTTCCCACAGATCAACAGACACTGAGGAGAATCCAGGATATCCCAAAATTCCAGATTTCCTCTGGAAAAGTCCATCAACATCACTGACCATGCACTGTCCCAATAATCCCATTCATATTCTGGAATATTCCCATTCCCAGCTCATCCTCGGTTTCCCGTAGATCAACAGGCACTGAAGAAAATCCAAGATATCCCAAAATTCCAGCTCATCCCTCTTTATAAACCCCTGCTCACTCCCCTTCCCCTCTGGCATCTCAAAATCCAGGCACGTTAAGCACATTTCAGGAATTCCCCAGGAATTGTCAATATTCTCCAGAAACTGCCAATATTCCTCACAAATTCCCAGCATTCTACACAAATTCCCAGTATTCCCCAGGAAATCCCAGTATTCCTCATGAATTCCCAGCATTCTCCAAGAAATCCCAGCATTCCCTGAGAAATCCCAGTATTGTCTGCAAATTCCCAGTATTCCCTCCAGGAAATCCCAATATTCTCCAGGAATTGTCAGTATTCTCCAACAATTCCCAATATTCTCCAGGAATTCCCAGGCATTCCTTCTGACCAAACAATCCCAACTTTGGAATGGGCAATTCCGTCCCTGGAATGGTTTCTCTCCACCCTTCCAGAAGTTTCTTGGAGACAAGGGTTGGAATTTTCCTGGAGTATCTTCCTCATGGCAGTGGTTTCCAGCACCGAGGCCTGCTTCCATCCCATAATTAATTTGGGAATGTTGATGACATCACTGGGATTTCATCGCTCCATGATCCATCATCTTCTCCAAGGCTTTGGTATTCCATGGGATCACAGATTAATTCCAGAAGCTCTGGAATTCTGCTATGCCATTAATGAGATTCCTGCTAATTACCCTCCTTAATTCCACCCCAATCCGATCTCTCCAAGAAAAATTGAGGAATTCTCAGGAAAACAAAAAATTCCCTCTTCAGGAATGCTGAATTCCTGATCCCACCCTGAGATCTCCCAGCATTTTCAGGCTGCTGCATCATTAATTCCTTAAAAAGTCCAGTTCCAGACATTTTTAATTATTATTTTTAATAAATAAATTTAATCATTTAGATTATTTTCTTAACTAAATACACTCAAAATTCCAATATAATTAAGATGAAGATTAGTCCATGCTATAGCCCAAAAAAATCCTTTATTTGGTTTCCATCCCTTATTTCCATGGATTTTTAATAACTCTTTTTTCATTATTAATTTTAGAAATGAAATAGTAAAAAAAAATCAGCCATAAATTGACAAAAAAATTGGAATTTAAAGTGAAAATTCTACGCCTCTTTTGATCCAATAAATCCATAACCCCAGAGAATATTGTGGGAAAAGAGGGAGCAAAATTCCAGGAAAATCTGATTTCAAGGAGTGGTTAGAGTCCAGTTTTCAGCAAAATTCCAAAGGAAAATACAACCAACGCTGTTCCCAACATGAAAATTCCTTAAATAAAATCAAGGATTTATATAAAATAAGTTCTTCCTGAGTCTTTTCCCAAGTTCCTTATCTGGATTTGTATCCATGGAATTCTCAGGGAGGAATTTTCTCCCTCAGGGTTTTTTTCCAAAGTTTTCACCAAGGAAAAAATTTCTAAAGGAAAATTCAGCTGAGGCTGTTCCCAAAATGAAAATTCCTTAAAAGACCAAGGATTTATATCTAATTATAAATTAAAAGAAGCTCTTCTTAATCCTCATCCCAAGTTTCTTACCTGGATTTGTATCCATGGAGTTCTCAGGGAGGAATTTTTTCCCAAGTTTTTACCAAGGAAAAAATTTCTAAAGGAAAATTCAACTGAGGCTGTTCCCAAAATTAAAATTCCTTTAAAAAAAACCAAGGATTTATACCTAATTATAAATTCAAAGAGGCTCTTCCTGAGCCTTATCCCAATTTTCTTACCTGGATTTGAATCCATTAAATTCTCCAGGAGCATTTTTTCCCCTCAGGGAGGAATTTTTTCCCTCAGGGTTTTTTCCTCTTCCAAGTTTTGAAAAAAAAAAATTGAAACTAAAGGAAAACACAACAGAGGCTGCTCCCAAAAATGAAAATTCCTTTAAAAAACTAAGGATTTATACCTAATTATAAATTCAAAGAGGCTCTTCCTGAGCCTTATCCCAATTTTCTTACCTGGATTTGAATCCATGAAATTCTCCAGGAGCATTTTTTCCCCTCAGGGAGGAATTTTTTCCCTTACGTTTTTTTTTCTCTTCCAAGTTTTGAAAAAAAAACCTTGAAACTAAAGGAAAACACAACAGAGGCTGCTCCCAAAAATGAAAATTCCTTTAAAAATCCAGGATTTGTACTGAATCAACAGAGGCTGCTCCCAAAAATGAAAATTCCTTTAAAAATCCAGGATTTGTATTGAAGGAATGAATCCAAGGTCTGGAAGGGCAGCAGAGGCAGAGCCGTGACTTCCCGAGGTTTTTATACCTGGATTTGTCTCTGGTCTCGTGATCCCTGACTCACCTGGCAGCTCCAAGCTTTACTCAGCTCCTTGCTGGGCCTGAGGGCAAATTTTCCAAGGAAAAATCCAGTTGGGAATTAAATCCTTTTTTTATTCCAAGGAAAAATCCAGTCGGGAATTAAATCCTTTTTTTTTTTTAAAGGAAAAACCCAGCTGGATATGAAATTGGGGGGTTTTTTTTTTTCCCCAAGTTAAAATCCAGATGGGAATTAAATCCTTTTTTCTTCCCCCAAGAAAAAATCCAGTTGGGAATAAAACCTTTTTTTTTTTTTCCCCCCCCCAAGGAAAAACCCAGTTTGGAATGAAATCCTTTTTTATTCCACAGAAAAATTCAATTGGGAATTAAATCCTATTTTTCTTTTCCAAGGAAAAATCCAGTTGGGAATTAAATCCTTTTTTTTTTTTAAGGAAAAACCCAGCTGGATATGAAATTGGTGGGTTTTTTTTTTTCCCCAAGTTAAAATCCAGATGGGAATTAAATCCTTTTTTCTTCCCCCAAGAAAAAATCCAGTTGGGAATAAAACATTTTTTTCTTTTTTTTCCCCCAAGGAAAAACCCAGTTTGGAATGAAATCCTTTTTTATTCCAAGGAAAAATCCAGTAGGGAATGAAATCCTTTTTTATTCCACAGAAAAATTCAATTGCGAATTAAATCCTATTTTTCTTTTCCAAGGAAAAATCCAGTAGGGAATGAAATCCTTTTTTATTCCACAGAAAAATTCAATTGGGAATTAAATCCTATTTTTCTTTTCCAAGGAAAAATCCAGTTGGGAATGAAATCCTTTTTTATTCCAAGGAAAAATCCAGTTAGGAATGGAATCCTTTTTTTTCCTTTTTCCCCAATATAATGGTATTGTCACCAGCAACAGATTCTTCTCTCTTCAAGAAGAAATTTAAATTTCCAATTAAAAGACAAAAGGATTTTTTTTCCCCAACATTAAAGAAAAGAAATGGTCAGAATTGTTGGAAAACCAACGGGCAGAATCTTCCTGGATTTCAGGATGAGAATCATGGAATGGTTTGGGAAGGGATCTCAAGGATCAGCCAGTTCCAGCTGCCATGGGAACACCTTCCACTATCCCAAATTTTCCACAAGAAATTCCATTTCATCCCAAAATGTTCCCTCACCATTTGTTCCCAGATCAGATCTGGACTCTTCCATTATCCACGCTCTTTTTTTTAAAGAAATAATTGGATTTTTGGCCACATCTGCCCCAAAATCCTGGAATTCCATGCACAGCAAGGCCTGGATCAGCAGCAGGGAAATGAGGATTTAACATCTGGCAGCTGATCCATGGAAAAAATGGGATTGGTGGAAAAATAAAACAAAAAAAAAATCAAATTGCTTCTGAATTCTGTGTACATTCGGGAAAAGGTTCGAAAACTTGGGAATGTCACAGGTTTACAAACTTGGGAATGGCACAGGTTTACAAACTTGGGAATGTCACAATCCTTCATCCAGGAGACACCTGAGGGATTCCACAAGAAATCCCTTCAGCTTCTTCCCAAAATGTTCCCTCACCATTTGTTCCCAGATCAGATCTGGACTCTTCCACTATCCACACTCTTTTTTAAGGAAATAATTGGATTTTTGGCCACATCTGCCCCAAAATCCTGGAATTCCATGCACAGCAAGGCCTGGATCAGCAGCAGGGAGATGAGGATTTAACATCCAGCAGTGTCACGGGGATTTTGCAGGAATTCTTTCCCTGAACATCATCCAGGGGCTGCTTCCATAAAAAGGAGCTGATTCACCTTTGGTGAGTTCACCCAATTAACCAGGAGCATTACTAATTAGTTAATTAGGGGGAGGAGCTGGCACCATCCCTGGGTGATGTTCCCATCAACATTTCATTCCCAGGTTTTTTGGGAATGATGGCCAGAGCATTCCTGCACTTTTTATTGTTTGTTTTCTCTCCTCCTGCACTGCTGAGAATTCCACAGGTTTTATTCCCAGAATTAAATCTGGGAAACGCTGAGATTAAAACTCCTGGGAGCCACACTCAATAAATGAGTTTATCAATCCCATCCAGTCTCTCTTCATCTTTTTTAATTAAGACTCAATTCCAGGACTGATAAATCCACAAATTCCAAATTTAGGATTCTCCAAGCTGTGAAGTATCCGGGCCTGACCTCATTCCTTCATTCCCAAGCCTCACCTCTGTTTCCTCACCCCCAAGCTGGAATTTCTCCCTCCTGCCAAGGACTTCCATCCCTTCCTCTTCCTTTTTCCCAGGATTTTCCTCCTCCTCACCCCAAGGGAACAGAGAATTCCGATGGTTTGGGCTGGGAGGGACCTTAAGGGTGATCCCACTCCATGGATCCTCCCCTATCCCAGCCGGATCCAAGCTGACCTCACACACTTCCATGAAGGAATATTCCCAATATCCAACCAAAATCTCCCTCTCCTCCTGTCCCTGTTCCCTGGCAGCACAGCCCAACCCCAAAAATTCCCCCTGCGCTCCTTTCCTCTGGGATGAACACTCCCAGCTCCCTCAGGATTCCCCAGCACAACTCTGGGATCCAGGAATTTCCTGGATTTCCGCAATCCCCTCTCCAAACCCCGCTTCCAGCCTTCCCTCGGTGCCGGCCCAGCCCGGGATCCGCCTCACGGAGCCCCCAGCCCCAGCCGAGCCCTCCCGGAGCCGACCCCGCTCCCGCTCCCGGTTCCGGTTCCCGGTTCGGACCCGCCCCGGCCCCGGGCGGAGCTGCCAGGCCCCGGTTCTCAACCCCCCGGGCCCGGTCCGAGAGCACAGCGACCGTGGATCGGAGCCCCCCCGAACCCAAATTTGTGACCCCTCCGCCCCATTTCCATCCCCAGCCCCTCCCGTCCCATCCAGACTCCCCCGCTCCCGGTCCGAGAGCACAGCGACCGTGGATCGGAGCCCCCCCGAACCCAAATTTGTGACCCCTCCGCCCCATTTCCATCCCCAGCCCCTCCCGTCCCATCCAGACTCCCCCGCTCCCGGTCCGAGACCACCGCGGCCATGGGCTGAGCACCCCCCCAAGCCCAAATTTGTGACCCCTCAGCCCCATTTTTAACCCCAAGCTCCATCCCCAGCCCCTCCCGCCCCATTTCGAGTCCCTGTAGCCCCATCCAGACCAGAGCACACCGACCATGGATCGGAGCCCCCCAGACCCCAATTTGTGACCCCCTCAGCCCCATTTCCATCCCCAGCCCCTCCCGCCCCATCCAGACTCCCCCGCTCCCGGTCCGAGACCACCGCGGCCATGGGCTGAGCACCCCCCCAAGCCCAAATTTGTGACCCCTCAGCCCCATTTTTAACCCCAAGCTCCACCTCCTGCCCCATTTCGAGTCCCTCCGGATCCCCCGGTCCCGGTCCGAGAGCACACCGACCATGGATCGGAGGCCCCCCGAACCCAAATTTGTGACCCCTCCGCCCCATTTCCATCCCCAGCCCCTCCCGCCCCATCCAGACTCCCCCGCTCCCGGTCCGAGACCACCGCGGCCATGGGCTGAGCACCCCCCCAAGCCCAAATTTGTGACCCCTCAGCTTTCAACCCCTCCCAGCCCCATCCAGAACCCCCGGTCCGACACCACCGCGGCCAGGGATCGGAGCCCCCTCCCCAATCCCCAATTTGTGACCCCCCAGCCCCATTTCAGCCCCAAGCTCCACCTCGAGCTCCTCCCACCTCACTTCGAGTCTTCCCGGGCCCGCTCCGAGACCACACCGACCACAGATCGGAGTCCCCGCAAGCTTCAATTTGTGACCCCCCAACCCCATTTTCGAGCCCCAAACTCCACCTCCAGCCCCTCCCGCCCCACTTGGAACCCCTCCCGCGCCATTTCGGGTCCCTTCAGCCCCATCCGGACCTCCCTGTCCTGGTCCAAAACCACCGCGGCCATGGATCGGAGCCTCTCATTCCCCGTCCGGAGCCCACCCAAGCCCCAGTTTGTGACCCCCCCAGCCCCATTTCCAAGGCCAAGCTCCCCCTCCAGCCCCTCGGGCCCCATTTCGAGCTCCCCCGGCTCCCCACGCACCTCCCTCAGTGCGGCACCGACCCCGCTCCGCGCCTGCGCCCTCCGCGCGCTCTCATTGGCTGAGCCCCGCGCATCTGGGCGTTTCTATTGGCTGAGCCCCGCGCCGATGCGCTCCGCTTTTCGCCTCCCCCCCGGCCCCCACCCGCCCGACGCAGAGGTTCCGGCGGCGCCCGCCATAGCCTTTCATTGTCGCCGCCGACGCCGCCATTCGCGCCGCGGGGCTGCCCCGCGGGGGGCGGGGGTGAGTGTGGCTCCTTCGGGGTGCTCCCGGTTCCTCCGGGCAGCGACGGTGGGGGTGGGACGGGACAGCGAGGTGGGGATGGCGTGTGCGACGCCCTGTGGTGTCCGGGTCCTCCCCCTCACACTGGGGAGAGCCGAGAGGGGAATTCCCTCAAGGAGGTTCCCTAATCCCGGTATTCCCATGGAGATCTCTGAGGGGGATTCCCTCATGGAGGTTCCTTAATTCCGGTGTTCCCCTGGAGATCTCTGAGGGGGATTCCCTCATGGAGGTTCCTTAATTCCGGTGTTCCCCTGGAGATCTCTGAGGGGGATTCCCTCATGGAGGTTCCTTAATTCCGGTGTTCCCCTGGAGATCTCTGAGGGGGATTCCCTCATGGAGGTTCCTTAATTCCGGTGTTCCCCTGGAGATCTCTGAGGGGGATTCCCTCATGGAGGTTCCTTAATTCCGGTGTTCCCCTGGAGATCTCTGAGGGGGATTCCCTCATGGAGGTTCCTTAATTCCGGTGTTCCCCTGGAGATCTCTGAGGGGGATTCCCTCATGGAGGTTCCTTAATTCCGGTGTTCCCCTGGAGATCTCTGAGGGGGATTCCCTCATGGAGGTTCCTTAATTCCGGTGTTCCCCTGGAGATCTCTGAGGGGGATTCCCTCATGGAGGTTCCTTAATTCCGGTGTTCCCCTGGAGATCTCTGAGGGGGATTCCCTCATGGAGGTTCCTTAATTCCGGTGTTCCCCTGGAGATCTCTGAGGGGGATTCCCTCATGGAGGTTCCTTAATTCCGGTGTTCCCCTGGAGATCTCTGAGGGGGATTCCCTCATGGAGGTTCCTTAATCCCAGTGTTCCCTTAGCACTCCCTGAGGGAGGAATTCCCTCATGGATGTCCCATAATTCTGATATTCCCTTGAAGACCTCTGCGGGAGAAATTCCCTCATGGATTTCCTTTAATCCCGGTGTTCCCTTGGAGATGTCTGAGGGAGGAATTCCCTCATGGAACTCCTTTAATCCCACTGCCATATCCCAGTGTTCCCATGGAGCTCTGTGAGGGGGGAATTCCTTCATGGATTTCCCTTAATTCCCATGTTCCCTTGGAGATCTCTGAGGGAAGAATTCCTTCATGGATGTTCCTTAATTTTGATATTTCCTTGGCACGCTGTGAGGGAGGAATTCCCTCATGGATATCCCATAATTCCCATATTCCCTTGAAACTCTGTGTGGGAGGAATTCCCTCATGGATTTCCTTTAATCCCGATATTCCCTTGGAGCTCTGGGAGGTGAGAATTCCATCATGGAAATCATTTAATCCCGCTGTGATAGCCCAGTGTTCCCTTGGAGATCTCTGAGGGAGGAATTCCCACATGGATTTCCCTTCATTCCAATATTCTCTTGGAGATCTCTGAGGGAAAATTCCCTCGTGGATGTTCCTTAATTCCCATATTCCCTCAGAGCTCTGTGGGGGAAAATTCCCTCATGGACGTTCCTTAACCCCAACATTTGGAGCTCTGTGAGGGAGGAATTCCCTCCTGGAGATCCCTAAATCCCCTTTTCCCTCAGTGTTCCCAAATCCCATCCCTGCAGCCTCTTTCCTTTATTCCCACTGTGCTCAGCCTTCCCCTTCCCTCTTTTTTTTTTGGTTTTTTTTGGGGGGGGTTTTCCCATTTTTCCCCTATTTTTATCCTTTGATTGCTCCAAATCCATGGAAAAACTCTGTGGGAAGTGCCAGAGCTGGGAACAAAGGGATGCTCCTACAGCAATCAGCATTTTCCCAAATATTTCAGGAATTTCTTTCCTTCCACCCCTTCAATTCATCAATTCCTTGGAAATATCCCACTGAAATTTTCTTTTCCTGCTTTTTTTAGGACAGAACCAGCTCTGACAAGAGGAATAAACATCCAAAAAACCCCATCCATTTTCCCAACTATCCCAAAAACCATGGAAAATCCAAATTATCCCAACACTCTTTATTCCCCTCAACTTCCTCATGATTTTCCACACTTTTAAAGCCTCAAATCCCATTTTTGGCAGGGATTTTTTTTTTGGGGATTATTTTTCCAAATTCCTTGGCTCAGCCAGGAATTTTTTTTCCAGCCTGCATGGACAGAGCAACCTTTGCCTGTTCCACCGCTTTTTTCCGGGATTTTGGGAATTCTTCTCCGCGTGCTCTCCCCGGGGGCCACGTGGATTTTATAGACAAAGCCGATTCCTTCACTTATTCCGATTTTTTCCGGGATTATCTCATTCCCAACCATCCCTGCATTTTCTCGGCCAAGTTCACCGAGGATTGGGGCAGCAGGAAAAATTGGGTGACGTGGGATGGGAAACCCAACTTTGAGCATCTCCTGCAGAAGTTTGGTAAGTCCTGGGATTTTCTCCAAATCCTAAAGGATTCAGTAATTTAGGACTGAATTTTAGGGAGAAAAGCACTAAAAAAATCAAAATTTCAAGATTTTCCTAAACTAATACATGGAATTTTTTCTATTTATTCATTCCCAAATTTTATTTTCTTTCTATATTTAAATAAATATAAAATCCTGGAGAATTTAATTATTCCAGATCCTGAAGGATTCAGCTTTATATGATTGAATTTTAGGGATAAAAGCACTTCAAAAACCCCGGAATTCCAAGTTTTTATTCTACATTAATCCATGGATTTTTTTTCCATGGGAAACCCAACTTTGAGCATCTCCTGCAGAAGTTTGGTAAGTCCTGGGATTTTCTCCAAATCCTAAAAGATTCAGCTTTTTAGGATTGAATTTTAGGGATAAAGGCACTAAAAAATCCCAAATTCCAAGCTTTTGTGCAAAATTAATCCATGGATTTTTCCCATTTCTTCACAGTTTGGTTCACAGATTCCAAGCTGAAATGTATTCCCAAATTTTCTTTATCATTTATAATTTAAATTATTTCATTTATCTTTAATTATCAAATTACCTTTATCACTTATTATTTAAATAAATTTATAATCTTGGATAATTTAATTATTCCAAATCCTGAAGGATTCACTCCTGACCCATACCTCCCTCCTAAGGGAGGAATTTAAGGGGAAAATTCCCTTTAAAGAAAAAACTGAGAAATTCAGGTCACAGCAAAGGAAAACCAGGAAAATTTGGGGCACATGGAATAAATAGCAGGAAAATCCAGGTCACTTAAAATAAACAATGTGGATTTGGATGGCGTTTCCCTGGAATATTGGGATGGTTCCTTTGGAATATTTAAAGCCCAGAATTCCACGGGGATCAGCTTGAGGGAGGTGATTTGATGGATCCTCCTCATTCCTGCAGAGGATTCCCAAGGGGATTTGTAATTCCTGGATTTTGTTTCCCTGGAATGATGGTTCTGGAATATTGGGATGGTTCCTTCAGAATATTTGAAGCCCGGAATTCCGCAGGAATGAGCTTGAGGGAGGTGATTTTACGAGTCCTCCTCATTCCCAGGGAAAATTCCTGAGGGATTTGTAATTCCTGGATTTTGTTTCCCTGGAATGATGGTTCTGGGATATAGAATATTCCTTTGGAATGTTTGAAGCCTGGAATTCCATGGGGATGAGCTTGAGTGAGATGATTTGATGAATCCTCCTGATTTCCAAGGAAAATTCCTGAGAGATTGGTAATTTCTGGATCGTGTTCCCTTGGAATGATGGTTCTGGGATATTGGGATGGTTCCTTTGGAATATTTGAAGGCCGGAATTCTGCAGGGATGAACTTCAGGGATGTGATTTGATGAATCCCTCATTCCCAAGGGATTTGTAATTCCTGGATGGTGTCCCCCTGGAATGATGGCTCTGGGATTGGGATGGTTCCTTCAGAACATTTGAAGCCCGGAATTCCGCGGGAATGAGTGTGAGGTGGAGATGATTTGATGAATCCTCCTGATTCCCAAGGAAAACTCCCGAGGGATTTGTAATTCCAGGAGAAGCCGTGGTGCCCGTTGCCAACTGCGATGTCAAGGAATACAATTCCAACCCCAAGGAGCAGCTGCCCTTCAAGGAATACGTGGAATATTGGCGGGAATACATCAGGAACGGCTACCGCTCCTCCCGGGGCTGCCTCTACCTCAAGGACTGGCACCTGAGCAGGTCAGGGATCATTCCCAACGCTCCGGCAGTGGGAATGCTCCTCTGGAGAAGGGAAGGATCCACGGAATCCTCGGAGCCCAAAGGGACTCCAGAAAAGCTGGAGAGGGATTTGGGATAAGCATGGAATGACAGGACCCAGGGAATGGTGTCCCACTTCATTTGGGAAGGAATTCCTGTTTGTGGTGGAATTCCAAGAGAAGCTGTTCCATCCATGGAAGTGCTCAAAGCCAGCTTGGAGCAGCCTGGCATAGTGGGAAGTGTCCCTGGCATGGGGCTGGAACTGGATGTTCTTTAGGATCCCATCCAACCCAAAAAATTCCATGATTCCATGATTTTCAGTTGTTCCAGTTGGGGTTTTGAGGTAAAACAGATGAGCTTGGCATCAGTGTGGAGGGAAAATATTCCAGCATTCCCTGAGGGATTCCAAAGCCTGGGCCTCCAACTCCAAAAAGAGCCCCGGATTCCTCAAATCCCTGATATTGCCTCAGCCTAATTCCCAGCTTTTATTCCTCACTCAAGATCCATTTAAACTCAATTTGGGAAGGAATTTCTGTCTGGGAGGGTGGGGAGGGGCTGGAATTCCCAGAGAAACTGTGGCTGCCCCTGGATCCCTGGAAGTGTCCGAGGCCAGGCTGGAGCAGCCTGGGACAGTTGGAATTGTCCTTGGCCATGGAATGGGATGATCCTTAAGGTGTCTTCCCACCCAAACCATTCCATGTTTTCTCCCTATGGAAAACGGCACTGGAACAGCTCCTACAGTCACATCTGGATTGGGATTTGAGTTGGGATCATTCCATGGCCGTGTTGGATTTGGGATCCTTTTGTATCCATTGGCTTTTTGGGAACATTCCCACTCCTTCCAGTTGCCTTCCCCCAGCTCTGCCTTTCCTTCTCCAGCTGGAAAAGAGCCTTGGGAAGGAATTTTCCCTGTGGGAATGGGGAGGGGTTGGGATGGAATTCCCACAGAAGCCATGGCTGCCCCTGAATCCCTGGAAGTGCCCAAGACCAGCTTGGAACAATCTGGGATAGTGAAAATTTGGGATAAACTGCTCCTTCAACTCCCTTCCACCCCAAACCCCTGGAATTCCATCCTAAAGGATCCACCTTGCTCTTCCCACTGCATTCGGGGGATCCTGTTTTCCTGAGCTGCTTTTCCAAGCGTTTGTGTTTTCCAGAGCTTTTCCAGAGCAGGATGTTTACACCACTCCCGTGTATTTTTCCTCGGATTGGCTCAACGAATATTGGGATGCCGTGGCCGTGGATGATTTTAGGTTCGTCTACATGGGACCCAAGGGATCCTGGTAAGGCTCTCATCCCAAAAAACTCCTTTTCCAGCTGAATATCCCAGGAAATTATCCCAGTATCCCTCAGGACAACCAGGCAGGTCTCCCGGTGTCCCAGCTGGTTCTGGATGGGAGGGAAAAGGGAAAACCCCAAATTGTACCCACAAAAAAAAAAAAAAAAGAAAAAGGGATCTGGGAGATTAGAGGAAAAATTCCCTTGGGATCAGCCACTTGGAATGTGCAGGGATAACTCCAGTGTTTTGCAGGGGAAAATTCCAGGTGAAAATTCCAGCACAGTATTGATTCTAAAGTTGCATTTTTAATTCCCTGCCCTTGAGGGATTTTTGGGATAAATTGAAGAGAAGCACAGAGGATATAAAGCACTCCATTATCCAGCCAGAGTTCCATCAGGAATGTTGGGATCAGTATCCATATAATGGCCTTTTAATAACCAAAACTCCATAATCCAACCAAAATTCCCTGAGGAATTTTGGGATCGGTATGGACACAGTGGCTTTTTAATATCCAAAACTCCACAATCCAACTGAAATTCCTTATGGAATTTTGGGATCAGGATGGACAAGTGGCTTTTTAATATCCAAAACTCCATCATCCAACCAAAATTCCATGAGGAATTTTGGGATTGGTATGGATACACTGGCTTTTTAATATTCAAAACTCCACAATCCAACCAAAATTCCTTAGGGAATTTTGGGATCAGTATCCACATAATGCCCTATTAATAACCAAAATTCCATAATCCAACTGAAATTTCTTGAGGAATTTTGGGATCAGTATCCATATAGTGGCCTTTTATTAGCCAAAGTCCATAATCCATGAGGAATTTTGGATCAGCACCTCAGCTTCTCAACAACTCGAATCCCTGTCGGAATTTTTTGGGATTGATTCCCGCCCATCCCTGATTTTTCCCAGGACGCCGTTCCATGCCGACGTCTTCCGCTCCTACAGCTGGTCAGCCAACGTCTGTGGCAGGAAGAAATGGCTCCTGTATCCCGCGGGACAGGAGGAATTCCTGAAGGATCGCCACGGGAATCTCCCCTTTGACGTGACGGCTCCGGATCTTCGGGATAAGAGGATTTATCCGCGCTACAGCCAGAGCCAACCCCCTCTGGAAATTCTCCAGGAAGCCGGAGAGATCGTCTTCATTCCAAGCGGGTGGCACCACCAGGTTTATAACCTGGTGAGGGAATGGATCCCGCTGGGAATTGCTCTTGGATCGGGAAGTGGGATCCCAGAGGTTTTGTTGGGATGGACGGAAATTGGGATTTTCTGGGAAAAGGTTGATCTGTTCTCCCGCGTGATGTTGGGAAGGAATGGTTTGGAATGGTTTTCCCAGAGAAGCTCCATCCCTGGAAGTGTCCAAGGATGGCTTGGATGAGGCTTGGAGCACCTGGGAGAGTGGGAATGGGATGGTCCTTGAGGTCCTTTTCCACCCAAACCAAGGTGGGAATTCCATGGCATAGAATTGGGGTGAGGAGGAGGAGGAGGAAGATCCTGGGAAAAAGGAAGAGGAAAGGATGAAAATCCTTCCCAGGAAGGAGGAATTCCAGCTTGGAGCACCATGCACCATGGATAGTGGGAAGTGTCCCTGCCCATGGAATGGGATGATCCTTAAGATCCCGTGAGATGGGATTTTTGGAGCAGCACATTCCATATTATCATTCCTAATAACTTTATTAGTTGCTAATTACTAATTATCCATGGATTATCCCAAATTTTTCCCTCAGGAAGACACCATCTCCATCAACCACAGCTGGTTCAGTGGCTGCATTTTGGGAACTGGGGACAATTTGGTTTTCTAAAGAAGGAATCAGATTTTTGGAGTGGCACATTCCATATTATCATCCCTAATAATTTATTTATTGACTAATTGCTAATTATCCATGAATTATCCCAGATTTTTCCCTCAGGAAGACACCATTTCCATCAACCACAGCTCGGTCAATGGCTGCATTTTGGGAACTGGGGACAATTTGGTTTTCTAAAGAAGGAATCAGATTTTTGGAGTGGCACATTCCATATTATCATCCCTAATAATTTATTTATTGACTAATTACTAATTATCCATGGATTATCCCAAATTTTTCCCTCAGGAAGACACCATCTCCATCAACCACAGCTGGGTCAGCGGCAGCATTTTGGGAATGAGGGACATCTTGGGTTGCTCAGGAATAGAATTTTTGGAGCAGCACATCCCATATTATCATCCCTAATAACTTAATTAGTGACTAACTACTAATTATCCATGGATTATCCCAAATTTTTCCCTCAGGAAGACACCATCTCCATCAACCACAACTGGGTCAACGGCTGCAACGTGGCCGTCATGTGGAGCTTCCTGCAGGATGAGCTGGCGGCCGTCCAGAGGGAAATCAGCCAATGGAAAGATCCCATTGACGACTGGCACCTCCAGTGCCAGGTACATCCCGGATTATCCCAGATTATCCCGGAATTCCGGGATTATTGGAGTTCTTGCAGCAGAATTTCCCTGGTTTTTAAGGAAGTAGGAGTTGGGGACGGGTTTGTTTTGTTGGGAAATACTCCCTATGAAAGTTTGGGAATGTTCCCCGTAAAAGTGTGGGAATTGCTTCTGGTTATTGGCTGTGTCCAGGTTGGAATGTTGGTTGGAAAGATGGAAAACTTAAGGATCAAGAGAGCTGGAAATGTTCCCCTGGAGAAGGGAAAGTTTCAGGGAGAAACCTCAGAGCCCCTTCCAGAGCCTAAAGCTGCTCCAGAAAAGCTGGAGAGGGATTTGGGATAAGCATGGAATGACAAGACACGGGGAATGGCTTCCCATTGGAAAAATGGGGATTTAGATGGGATTTTGGGCAGGAATTCCTGGCTGGGATAGAATTCCCAGAGAAGCTGTGGCTGCCCCTGGATCTGGGAAAGAGTCCAAAAGACCAAACTCCATAACCCAACCAAAATTCCATGAGGAAGAGGGTGGGTGAAATTCCTTCCAAAATTCTCCAGATGAATAAAATTCCAAGTTGACTTCTGGAAGCTGTTCCCTCTCCTTGGGTTGATTTCCTTCCAAAAATGAATATTTGGGAAAAACAACCTGGTGTCTTTGGCTCCAGAAGCAATTCCAATGAAAAAATTATTAAACATAATTATTTATGATTCCAAAGAATTCCTAACTCCATAACATCCAATTTTAGGGATTTTTCCTGGATTTTTCCCGCTGTCATTCCCGTTTTCACTCCGTTTCCCCCCCTTTAGCTGATCATGAAATCCTGCACAGGCATCGACTACAAGGAATTCTACAACTTCCTCAAAGTCATCGCGGAAAACCGGATTTCCGTCCTGGAGAAGGGCCTGGATGAGGAATCCTCATCCCAGAACAATTCCAAAGCCGCCATTTCCACCCTGGGAATGCTGCACGCCGTGTTCGACCTGAAGAGGACGGTGAAGGTGCTGAGCTCGTTAAGCGCTAACGAGGATTTCCGGAAGCTGGATCTGACTTCCCTGTCTCCTCCTCCGGAGGCTCTGCTCCAGCACCTGGAATCGGCCATAGACACGGCCCTGCTCTGAATTCCCGCTTTTCCAAGATGTTTTCCAAAGGTTTGGAGGAAATGGACTTGGAGAAGAGCTTTACTCCACTGGGAGGAGGGAGAACATCTGGAAAGGAGGGAGAACGTTCCCAAAGTTCTGAGTGGTTTGGAGGAGTTAAGGACCGCTTTTCCAAGATGTTTTCCAAAGGTTTGGAGGAAATGGACTTGGAGAAGAGCTTTACTCCACTGAGAGGAGGGAGAACATCTGGGAAGGAGGGAGAACGTTCCCAAAGTTCCGAGTGGTTTGGAGGAATTAGGGAAAAAACCATCCCAGCCAAAGGAAAATCCCAAACTTCCTTAGGATTCTGAGCTTCGCTCAGGGAAAAAAATTCCCTCTGGATCATCTGGCATTGGAATGAAGCAAATTCCCTGTGCTTAAGCTCAGCTTTGTTAAAACCTCTCCTCTTCCAGGTGCAGCTCAGCTTTTCCATCCTATTTTTAGGGAATTCCAGCTGGTGAATTCCATGGGAGCCTGAGCTGGAGCCAGCACCTGGAATCGGCCATAGACACGGCCCTGCTCAGAATTCCCGCTTTTCCAGCTTTTTTCCAAAGGCTTTGGAAGAAATAGACTTGGACAAGAGCTTTACTCCAGCAGGAGGAGGGAGAACATTCCCCAAGTTCTGAGTGGTTTGGAGGAATTAGGGAAAAAACCATCCCAGCCAAAGGAAAATCCCAAACTTCCTTAGGATTCTGAGCTTCACTCAGGGAAAAAAATTCCCTATGGATCAAGTCTGGATGTGGAAAGAAGCAAATTCCCTGTGCTTAAGCTCAGCTTTGTTAAAATCTCTCCTCTTCCAGGTGCAGCTCAGCTTTTCCATCCTATTTTTAGGGAATTCCAGCTGGTGAATTCCATGGGAGCCTGAGCTGGAGCTTGGATTTGGGAATGTTGATTCCGTGTCTTCCAAAGTGGGATTTCCAAAGCTGAGACGCTCAGGATTAAATTTAATTTAATTCAACTCGGAGCAAAACCTGCCTTGACTCATCCCAACAAACAACAGGAATGGGAATGTGCTCCCAAAATTCCACGCTCTATCCCAAGCTCAAGAATTCCCTCCAGGAAAGATCAGAAAAGTTCTGAGTGGTTTGGAGGAATTAGGGAAAAAAACCATCCCAGCTAAAGGAAAATCCCAGCTTTTTTAGGATTCTGAGCAGGCACTCAGGGAAAAAAATTCCTTGTGGAATATTTTTGTGGATCCAGCACCTCCTGCACGCTTCCACAGCACAATTCCCACCCAGAATATTCCCAGTGGACCCTGCCCCCTCCTGCTTTTCCTTGGAAAAATCAAAAACCTGGAAGCACAAATGGCTGCACACTGTTACCTTCAGGCCTCGCTTGAATTCTTCCCGAAATCAAAACCAAGGAAAACTTGGAATTTCGGGAAGTTTTAGGAAGTCAAACTGAAAATCCACCTCGAATTCCTTGGAATTTTTACCCCCCCCTGCACTTTGCATGTCCTTTCCCAGTAGGAATTTTGCATTTTTTTCTTCCTTCCTAAAAATATCAAGGAGCCGTTTTTCCTTAATTTAGGAAATTCCCGGATTCCTGAAGACAACAAGGAGCACGCAGAGCCTGGAATCTTCAAAATTCCAAGAGTTTTATTTAAATAAAAATTCCTGGCAAACTTCCAGTCAGATTCTCTCATTAATATATTAATTCTTAATTAGTTAATATAGTAATTAATCTGTTATTTATTAAAGGATAAAATTTGGGGAAAATGGGAGGAAAAAACCTGGGGGGGTTTTGTTTTCCCAGAGTCACCTGGATAAGGCAAAACAATTCCTTGGAAAAATGAAGAAATTCCTGGGAAAAATGACAAAAATCCCATTTATTTTTTAAAAAATCCCTTTTTATTTGGACTTCCAATTCTTCATTCCCAAAAATATCAAGGATCCACTTTTCCTTCGTTTAGAAAATTCCCAAATTCCTGCAAACAAAGAGGAATGGGAGAAGGAGCACGTGGATCCTGGAATTTCTTCAAAATTCCAAGAATTTTAGTTAAATAAAAATTCCTGGCAAACTGCCATGGGATTCTCTCATTAACATATTAATTCTTGTAATTAATCTGTTATTTTTTAAATTATAAAATTCGGGAAAAATGGGAGGAAAAAACTTGGGGGGTGGGGGGGGTTGTTTTCCCAGAGTCACATGGATAAAGCAAAAAAATTCCTTAGAAAAATTTAAAAATCCCAAGGGAAAAATGACAAAAATCCCATTTTTTGTGAGCTTTGGATTTCCAATTCTTCATTTCCAAAAATACCAAGGAGCACTTTCCTTAATTTAGAAAAATCAGGAAAACTTGGGAAAAACAGCTGGAAAAAAAGCTTGGGGAGTTTTATTTTCCTGGATAAGGAAAAAATTACCAGGAAGAATGAAAGAACTGTAAAAAATGAGATTTTTTAAGGCTATTTTTAAATTATTTTGGGATGCTGGGAACAGCATCCCGAATATCCATTGGGAATATCCCAGATATCCATTGGGAATATTCCAAATATTCCTTTTCCACGGGAAATTCCAGCTCGGAGCACGAAGCACCTCCGGGATTGGCAGGGCACAAATCCAGCTGGGATTGTGGAGTTTTTATTCCATATTTTCTGCTTGTTTTCCCAGAATTTCCCAAAATCCGGGAAAAATCCGTGTTTTTTCCGAGCCCTCCAGAATTCCAAAGAAACACAGGATTATCCAAGGTGTGGGATCACCCCTGAGGTCTCCCAAGGAGAAATAAAAATTTTGGAGCACGGGAAAAATGGGGAAATTTGGGAATAGCAGCTTCCAAATGGAATTGGAGAAGTCCTGAGCTGGGAAAAGTAGCAAAAGGAGTGTTGGGAAAAATCTCTTCTCATTCCTGGAATTTTTAGGAGTTTTGGGATGAGCTCTCCTTCCCAGTCCAAGAAATCTTCTTAAAAATTGGGTTTTCCCAAAGAAATTCCTTCTTTTTCTGGGAATATTCCAGTGCAAAAATAAAAAACCCATCCCGAGCAGGAAAAGGAGATTTTTCCCGGGAATTATTTGCAGGAAAAGGGGATAAAACTCAAAACAAAAACAAAACCAAAAACCTTGGAGATGAAAATTCCAGCCCTTCCAGTGTTTTTGGGATCAGGAAAACCTCGGCTGGGGAGGAATTCTTCCCTTTAAAGGCAGCCAGGGATACAATTCCCGCTTTTTCCAAAGGGGTTTGGTCCAGAAAATTCGGAAAAATTCACATTTTCCCTATGGATCAGGAGCTGTGGGAGTTTTCCTTCGGATGGAGCCGGATCCTCTGGATGTGTTCATAGCACGACTGGGGAGGGAACAGAGCAAAAATTAGGGAAAAATTTGGGAATTCTGGGATCAAATCCAATCTGCGGCAGGCAGAGAATCCCTGCTGATCTCACAGAGAATTCCAATAGAATTCAATCTGTCCAAAGTCAAGGATTAGGATTTTTTCCCAGCCTAGCAAGGGAATAAATTCCTGAAAATTCCATTCCAGAAAAACTGGAATTTTGCTGGAATTCCTGGAAAAAATTCCCTCACCTCCAGTGCCGTCAGCAGGAAATCCAACATTCCTCCCTGGTTGGTCGGATCCATCAAATCCCGGATCAGATGGATTTCAGCTCCCAGGTGTTGGATCCTAAGGAAAAACAAATCCCAAAATCAGGGAAAAATCTCAGGGCACGTGGAAGGGTTGGAATTTTGGAGAGGAGGAAGAGGGAAACTCTGGAATTCCAACGCTGATTGCTGGTGCATCCGGATCTGCTGGAGGGATCTGGGATTTCAAAATTCCAGAATCCCGGAATCCCAGAACTTCAGAATTCCAGAATCCCAGATTCCCGGAGTGCTTGGGGTTGGAAAGCTCCTTCAGGATTATCCATGAGCAGGGACATCCCATTATCCCAATTTTCCCCAAGCGTTTCCAACCAGGAACACTTCCAGGGATGGAGCAGCCGCAACTTGAGATGCTCCATCCCAAGAAAATTCCAGATCCATCCATAGGAAATTCCAACTGCTGGATGGAGTTTTGGATTCCTCATCTCCCAAAGGAATCCCAGTTCCTGCTGAGGATGGCAAATTCCTGTAGGAATCCCAGAATTCCAGAGTGTTTGGGGTTGGAAAGGTCCTTAAAGATGATCCATGGGCAGGGACCTCCCACTATCCCAATTTTCTATGGGATAAGAGACGGAGACTCTGGAATTCCGGGATAAAAGGAATATGATTTTCCATTAAAAGCCTGGAATATCATCTGGGTTAAGAGATGGACACTGTGGAATTCCAGGATGAAAGGAATCTGTTTTTCCATTAAAATCCTGGAATATTGTCTGGGATAAAACATGGACACTCTGGAATTCCAGGATAAAAGGAATCCCATTTCCATGAAATATCCTTTGGGATAAAACATGGACTCTCCAGAATTACGGGATAAAAGGAATCTGATTTTACATCAAATATCCTTTGGGATAACACACAGACATTCTGGAATTCTGGGATAAAAGGAATCTGATTTTCCATTAAATATCCTTTGGGATAGGACACAGACACTCAGGAATTCTGGGATAAACAGAATCACTTTTTCCAGGAAAACCCTGGAATATTGTCTAGGATAAGACACGGACACTCTGGAATTGTGGGATAAAAGGAATCTGATATTCCATGAAAACCCTGGAATATCATCTGGGATAAGAGATGGACACTCTGGAATTCCAAGATAAAAGGAATCCCATTTCTATGAAATATCCTTTGGGATAAGACACAGACATTCTGGAATTCTGGGATAAAAGGAATCTGATTTTCCATGAAATATCGTCTGGGATAAGACACGGACGTTCTAGAATTCTGGGATTAAAGGAATCTGATTTCCCACAAAATATCCTTTGGGATAAGACATGACCACTCCAGAATCCCATCAGCACTTTATATCCCAAAAACCCAACCACACCTCCGGGAAAAAAAAAAAACAAAAAACCCCAACCCGACACATCCAACCCCACATCCCAAAGGTTTTCATTGGAATTCTTCCACCCGGGAATATTCCAGAGGGGAAGAATTCCGCTCACTTGGCTCGGGACACGACGAACACGAGGAGCGGCAGGAGATCGTCCATGGGCAGCCGGTAATCCGCGCCCAGCAGCCGCGACGCCGTGCGCTCCAGCTCCTCGTAGGTCTTCCAGAGGATTACCAGCTTTTCCCTGGGATCCACCGTGGTGCTGCCGGGATAAAGGAGACATGGAAAAGTTTAATTTTCCCACAGGAAAAGTGGGAATTAAGAAAAAGACCCAACAAATTAGGGATGAAAGGATTTCAGGAGATTTGGAGTTCATGGATTGGCCCCAAAGGGTGGAGAAAAGAGGAGGCACCAAAGTTGGGCCAAGAGATATTCCAGGGTGGAATGGGACATTCCTGGTGTCTCCAGCATGGAATGGGACATTCCTGGTGCCTGAAACATGGAATGGGACACTCCTGGTGACTGAAATATGGAATGGGACACTCCTGGTGCCTGAAACATGGAATGGGACACTCCTGGTGACTGAAATATGGAATGGGACACTCCTGGTGCCTGAAAGATGGAATGGGACATTCCTGGTGTCTGAAATATGGAATGGGACACTCCTGGTGCCTGAAACATGGAATGGGACACTCCTGGTGTCTCCCATATGGAACGGGACATTCCTGGAGATCCTCTTCCAGAGGATTACCAGCTTTTCTCTGGGATCCACCGTGGTGCTGTCAGGATAAAAGAGCCATGGAAAAGCTGCATCCAGAAAAGCGGGATTTTTTAAAAAAATTAGGGATTAAAGGATTTCATGGATTGGCCCCAAAGGGTGGAGGAAAGAGGAGGCACCAAAGTTGGGCCAGGAGATATTCCAGGGTGGAATGGGACATTTGAGGATTTGAGGAATTCTGAGCTCTTTTTGGAGCTAGAGGCCAAGGCTTTGCAATCCCTCAGGGAATGCTGGAATATTTTCCCTCCATGCTGATGCTGAGCTCGTCTGCTTTGCCTCAAAACCCCAACTGGAACAACTGAAAATCATGGAATCATGGAATTTTTGGGGTTGGATGGGATCCTAAAGAACATCCAGTTCCAACCCCATGCCAGGGACACTTCCCACTATCCCAGGGTGCTCCGAGTGTCCATCCCGGCCTTGGGCACTGCCAGGGATCCAGGGGCAGCCAGAGGTTCTCTGGGAATTCCATCCCAGCCCCTCCCAGCCAGGAACTCCTTCCCAGGGAATATCTGTGGGAAGTGAAGATGCTGAGCAGGGAATTGCCAGATTTCATCATCGATGTCTTCATGGAATTTTGGAGGAAAAAGTTCCATGGAATTCACTTTGTACCAGGAAGCACATCCCAAACAACTCTTCCTTAAATAGTGAATGGAATGGCCCGGGAATGCTTTTGAACAGGTACCAATTCCTGGCACTTCCCAAAAAAAATCCCTGGATTTCAGTGGGAAGAGCCGAACAAGGACTCACATGAGCTTCTGCAGACACTCGGTGGCAGACAGGAAACATTTATCCTTGATCAGGGAGCGCCTCTGGAAAAGAGACAGGGATACCTCTGGAATACCGAGGGCAGAGATTCTGGAGCCATCCCACAAAATCTCTGTGGAAATCCACAGGCAGCGCCTCCGGATGGGAACTGATCATGGAGCTCAGATTCCTGGGATTCATTTGGAGAAGCTCTGTCCTCATCCAAGCCCGATTCCATGTCCCGTTCCCATTCCCAGCTGGCTCCAAGCATTTTCCTTACCTGGTTGGAGGTCAGGGTGAGATCTTTGAGAGGCCACAGGTGCCTGGAAAGGGAAAAGCGGGATTTAGGATGGATTCCGTCCTGAATCCCATCGGTTCTTCCATCTCCTCCTCCGAGGTGCTGCCAAAGCCTCGGAGGCTCCACCTGCTCCTCTCCTGGCCCTGCTCCAGGTGGGATTTGCATCAGGAACCTGGGAGCTCCCACTCCATGGATCCACTTCCCTCCATCCCATGGATCCACTTCCATCAGAGCTCCCATCCAATGGATCCACTTCCCTGGGAATCCCATCCCATGGATCCACTTCCCTGGGAGTTCCCATCCCATGGATCCACTTCCCTCAGAGATCCCATTCCACGGAGCTTCCCTGGGAGCTCCGATCAGAGTTCGCGTTCCTCAGCGATGATCCTGGGATAATCCATGAGAAATTTTGGCACTTTTGGATCCAATTCCTCTCATTTCTTTTGGACAGAATCCAATTGAGACCCTGGATCTGCTGTGCTCCTGAAACCCCAGAGGAAAATTCCCAAGCTGTTTTCCATCACTTCCAGAGGTGGATCCAGGAGTAGGAATGGATAAGGGAAACATCTGCCTCCACTTTTTACATCTTTTCAGTCAGTATTCCCACATTTTTACAGGGAATACCCTGGAATGAACATTCCTTTTCCAAAATATTTATCAATTCTGGATGATTCAGAGCAAAACATCTGGGAATTTTCCACACAAAAATGAGAATTAGTAGGGATAACAGCAGTTTTCCATTACCAATTTTTCTTCCATCCAAACATTTCCGAGTAGGAATTCTGGGAGAAAACCCAGCGAAAAACTGGGAAAAACCAATGACAAATCCAACAAACAACTCAACCTTTCCGGGATTTTCCCTGGGGATGGAAAAATCCCGCTTACTTCTGCACATCCAGGAATTCCAGGAGCTGGATATCCGGGAAGAGGCTGAGCTCCACAATTCCCTGGCAGTAGAGCTCGTCCTCCCGCTGGTGCTGGAGCATGTAGAGCATGGAGAGCTCGGGATAGAATCCAGGCAGGATCAGCGGCAGCACCAGGCTGGAGCCCTTCCCGAGACTGGAAAACAGGGAAAAAAATCCAGGATTTTCCAGGGAAATCCATGTGGATATTCCCAAACCCACAGAAGAGGCATTTCCAAGGGGTTTTCCTTGTTTTCCGCTCTTCCGAGCTTGGCACGGTCAGGTTGTGGTGGCCACAAGTTAATCCAAGAGGATCTGGTGCTCCAGGAGATCTCCAGGGAATTCACTGGGAAAAACTTGGGGCTCCAGGAGATCTCCAGGGAATTCACTGGGAGAAACCTGGAGCTCCAGATCTCAGGAGTCACCAGGAAAAACCTGGAGCTCCAGGAGATCTTTGGAGCCACTGGGAAAAACCTGGGCATGAAGCCTGGCTCAAGCAGACAAACATGAGCTCAGCACTTCCTGAATTCCAGAACCCCTCGTAAATCCCACCGGGATCTGAACACGGAACCCCCGGAGGTGCCACCAACCTGGGATCCGTGTCCTCCGAAGGCGCGCGGCCCTTCCGCTCCAGGGCCAACCGGAGCAAACCCCTGGACACAAAAACAAGGATTAATTCCTTCCCTGTTTTTTTTTAAGGATAATTTGTTCCCAAAGGACGAGCTGTCCCAGCATCCAGTGTGAGATCAGTGGAAATCCCTGGAATTCTGGCAGAGTTGTTGCAGTGTTTGAGGTTTCTGCTCGAGCAGCAGAAGCATCAGGAATGGCTGAGAATTCCAGAATTTCCAAGGATTCTAAAGAGCAGAGTGGTCACAATTCCCAACCCCACTCTGGAAAAGCAGCTGGGCTTTGCCTTGATTTCCCAGAGAATCCTGGAATGGTTCGGGTTGGATTTTAGGAAGGAATTCCTGGCTGGGAGGGTGAGGAGGGGCTGGGATGGAATTCCCAGAAAATCTGCGGCTGCCCCTGGATCCCTGGAAGTCCAAGGAGAGGTTGGACAGGGCTTGGAGCACCTGGAATAGCAGGAAGGGATTGGAGCTGGATGAGGTATCCAACCCAAAGCACTCCATGATCCCATTTTTCCTTCAGTCACGGATTTCCAGCCCCATGGATTTGTGCTCTGATTGACACTGTTACCTCAAGGAATCAACTCTCCCAGGAACTCCCAAAGACTCTCAAGAATTCCAAAGAACTCTCAAGAATTCTGAACAATTCCCAAGAATTCTAAAGAACTCCCAAGAATTCCAAAGAACTCCCAAGAACTCTGAACAATTCCCAAGAATTCTAAAGAACTCCCAAGAATTCCAAAGAACTCCCAAGAACTCTGAACAATTCCCAAATTCCAAAGAACTCCCAAGAATTCCAAAGAACTCCCAAGAATTCTGAACAATTCCCAAGAATTCCAAAGAACTCCCAAGAATTCCAAAGAACTCCCAAGAACTCCAAAGAAAACAGGAACACAAGTAAGGCCCACCTCCTAATCCCACGATCCCAAAGATCCACTCCATGCTCCCACCCCATGGAAAACCTCCATGTTGGACTCACCGGTAGAATTCCCAAATTTTCTTGGAGTAGAACTTGACCTCCTCCTGCGCCATGGCCAGCAGGTGCCGGTTGGCCCCGATCCCGGAATATGTTGCCTGGAACGCCACGGTCAGAGCCCTGAGCAGCTTTCCCAAGGGATGCAGGGAAGATTCCAACGCCTGGAAAATCCAATTTCATGGATCAGGAGGAGAGGGAAAGCCGCAAAGGGCACCTGGATTTCTCTCAGAATTCCCAGCTGGAATTTGGGATCTTCTGGATGCCATAAATGCTCTCTGCTCCCTTTTCCGGCTAGGATTTGCTGGGATATTCCAGAGGGAGCAAAAGGTGCTCCAGGAAAAAGTGGATGAGGAAAAAATCACCTCACTATTTATTAAATAAATTCTTTATTATTACTTTTTCTATCCTACAAATTCTCTGTTTTTTAAACAAATTCTCTATTTATTAATTATTATTAATTATCTATTTACTTAAATTCTCTATTACTAAAATCTCAATTGTGTAAGTTCTTTATTCTTAAATTCTCTAATTATTATTAAATTCTCTATTTTTAAATTATCCATTATATAAATTCTTTATTTATTCTTAAATTCACTATTATATATATTTTCTATTATTAAATTGTGTTTATTATTAAATTCTCCATTATTAAATTATCTATTAATTCTGTTATTAAATTAGCTATTATAGTAAATTTTCTATTATTAAATTCCCAATTTATTATTTAAGTCTCCATAATTAAATTGACTATTAATTATTAAGCTATTTATTATTAAATGCTTTATTATTAAATTGTCTATTTAATATTAAATTCTCTATTATTAAATTCTTTATTATTCAATTTACTGATTATACAAATTCTCAATTTATTATAAATTCTCTATTTATTATTAAATTATCCATTATTAAATTCCCTGTTTATTCTATAAATTCCTTAATTATTATTAAATTATCCATTATTAAAATCCCTTTTATTATTAAATGCTTTATTATTAAATTGTCTATTTAATATTAAATTCTTTATTATTCAATTTACTGATTATACAAATTCTCAATTTATTATAAATTCTCTATTTATTATTAAATTATCCATTATTAAATTCCCTTTTTAAAATACAAATCCCTTTATTAGCAAATTCCTTATTAATAACATAAATCTTTATTATTTAATTCTCTAATTATTAATAAATTCTCTACTATGAATTTTTTTCTTCTATAAATCCTGTTATTCAATTATTTATCATCAAATCCTGAATTTTGATATTTTTAATAATGAAAATTGTATTAATTTTTGATAATTTTATTCAACAATTTCAATCCTCACCTTCTCCAAGTAACTCTGGATCGACTCTGGCTCCTGGTGCTGGACGAGCTCTTCCAGGATCTCCTCAATTTTCCAAGAAATCTCCTCAGCGCCTCTGGAAAAATGGGAATTAAGGAGGGAAAACCACCCACGGATAAATCCCAACTGGCAGATTCCAAAGGGGCATTAAAATAATTCCAAGAAATTCATTTTTCATGGATGTGGATTAATCTCAGCAGCAGAAATTCCAGCTGAGGTGGGAAACTCCTGCTCCTTTTTCCCCAGTGGAAACAACTGGAAAATTCTTGGAACTACACAACACTCCTGCGTGGGAATGAGGGTCTGCATTCCCAACAGGAATTCCTGGGATTTCCTCAGGGATTCCTGGGATTTCCTCAGTACCTTCGGCAGAATAGGAATTCCCAGGATTTCTTCTTCATCAGAACAGGAATTCCCATAATTCCCTTAGTAAAAGTTCCCGTTTCTTTGGCAGAACAGGAATTCCTAGGATTCCCACATTGGCAGAACAGACACTCCCAGGATTTCCTCAGGAATTCCTGGGATTTCCTCATTGGCAGAACAGGAATTCCCAGGATTCCCTCAGGAATTCCCGGGATTCCCTCAGTACCTCTGGCAGAACAGATATTCCTGGGATTTCCTCAGCTCCTTGCTGGTTTGGATGTGGAATCCCGTGAAAGATTCCTCCATTTCCTCCTTGCAGCCGGAATGGAGGAATTCCTGGAATTGCTCGAAGATTCCCGTCCATCTCTTCTCCACTGGGAATTCCTTGAGGCCCAGCTGGCTGGAAAGCAACACAGGATTGGGATTTTCCATGGTCTTCCCAAACCCCTCAAAATGGGAATGTTCTCTGGGATTTGATGGAAACACAGGGCTGGGAGACATGGGAACGTTTTCCTGGAGAAATGAAAATTCCAGGGGCTCCAGGAGAGCTGGAGAGAGACTTGGGACAAGTGATAGAGGAACAGGACACAGGGAATGGCTTCCCACTGGAAAAATGGGGATTTAGATGGGATTTTGGGAAGGAAATCCTGACTGGGATGGAATTCCCAGAGCAGCTGTGGCTGCCCCTGGATCCCTGGGAATGTCCAAGCTTGGATCCACGTGGGACAGTGGGAGAATCCATGGAATGGGATCATCCTTAAACTCCATTCCCACCAAAATCATTCCTGGATAATCCTACATGGATTCCATAAATGGGAATTCCTAAATGGGAATTCCATAAAAACCCTTCAAGTCTCTTGTCCTGACCACAAAAATCCTTTAGGGGGAAAAAAAAAATTCCAGATGTGTGGGACAGAAATAATCCAGAATTTTTTAATTCCTGCTCCATGCACTGCTGGATATTCCTAAATATTCCTAATTAAGAGTCTTTATCTTCTGGGAATTCCTGCAGAAAAGCTGGAAAAGAGTTGAGCAACAGCTCCCAGGAGTTGTTCCTGCCTGGATAGCTCAGGGAAAAGGAATTTGTGTCCCACGGATGCTCCACAGGACTGGGAATGTTTTAGAGGGGAAAAAAGATGGAATTGAACTGGGATTTGGGAGGAGAACTGGAATTTGGGAGGAATTTGGGCTGGATGGCATCAAAACATCCATTCCTGCTTCCCAACGGGAATTAATTCCATGAAAATCCCAGGATGGCACTATAACATCCATCCCTGCTTCCCACATGGAATTAATCCCAGTTCCAGGATTTCAGGAAAAGCTTCCCTATGGAATTAACCCCATGAAAATTCCAGGATTTCAGGAGAACATCCATCCCTGCTTCCCTATGGAATTAATTCCATGAAAATCCTAGGATGGCACTAAATATCCATCCCTGCTTCCCTATGGAATTAACTCCATGACAATTCCAGGATTGCAATCCAATATCCTGCTTCCCACACGGAATTAACTCCACGAAAATCCCAGCATGGCACTAAAACATCCACTTCTGCTTCCCATTTGGAATTAATCCCAGACAATCCCAGGAATTCAGGAAAAGCTCCATTCCCTGCTTCCCTATGGAATTAACTCCACGCAAATCCCAGGATTTCAGTCCAACATCCATCCCTGCCTCCCACCACAGTGAACCCCCTGGGCTCCATCCCTCCCTGTCCCATTGCCCACAAATCCACACTGGGATCAATTCCAGGAAATGCCTGTGGGACTGGATCCGGAGCATTCCCAAGGATCCCATCCCAAGGATCCCATTCCTGAGGATCCCCTTCCTGAGGATCCCAAAGAGCCCCTTCCTGAGGACCCCATCCCAAAGACCCTGTTCCCAAGGACCCCGTTCCTCAGGATCCCATCCCAAGGATCCCCTTCCCATGGATCCCATTCCTGAGGATCCCATCCCAAGGATCCCCTTCCCAAGGACCCTGTTCCCAAGGACCCTGTTACCAAGGATCCCATCCCGAGGATCCCCTTCCCGTGGATCCCAAGGATTCCATCCCAAGGATGCCACTCCTGAGGATCCCATTCCTGAGGACCCCATCCCCAAGGACCCCGTAACCCAGGATCCCATCCCAAGGACCCCCTTCCTGAGGATCCCATCCTGAGGACCCCGTTCCCCATGACCCTCTTCCCCAGTATCCCATCTCAAGGATCCCCTTCCCCAGGATCCCAAGGATCCCATCCCAAGGACACCATTCCTGAGGATCCCATCCCGAGGAACCCCTTCCTGTGGTTCCCAAGGACCCCATCCTGAGGCCCCCGTTGCCCAGGACCCCATCCCAAGGAACCCTTCCCAAAGTCCCCGTTCCCCGGGATCCCATCCTGAGGTCCCTGTTCCCCAGGATCCCATCCCGAGGTCCCTGTTGCCCAGGACCCCATCCCGAAGGTCCCATCCCGAGGTCCCTGTTCCCCAGGATCCCATCCCGAGGATCCCATCCTGAGGTCCCCGTTCCCCAGGATCCCATCCCGAGGTCCCCATTCCCCAGGATCCCATCCCGAGGTCCCCGTTGCCCAGGACCCCATCCCGGCTCTCACTCGGAGGCCGCCGGCCGCTCGGGCTCACTGGCCGTGCTGAGCACGCCGTGGGTGCTGAGCCCGCGGCCGCCGCGCGCGCTGAACGTCCCCTCCAGCACGAAGCCGTTGGCCAAGGACAGCTTGCCCTGCGGGAAAAGTTATAAATTAAATTAAAATCACCAGTTCTATTCATTTTTTAATTAAAAAATTACTTAGTTCAATTTCTCTGCATCAATTCTCTGTTCAAATCTCAATCATTATTTAATTCTTTGTTGTTAGATTCTCTATTTGTTATTAAGCTTCCTATTATTATATTCCTTTTTTATTATTAAATTCCCTATCATTAAATTCCCTTATTGTAATTAAATTCTCGTTTATTATTACATTCTGGAGCGCTTTCTCTGCGGAAAAATCTGGAATTATAAATTAAATTTAAAATTTTAATTTAAAAATAACTTATTTCAACTTCTCAACATCAATTCTCCATTCAATTCTCTATTATTATGGAATTCTTTGTTATTAAATTCTCTGTTATTAAGCTCTCTATTAAATTCTCTATCATTAAATTCTCTATCGATTATATAAATTCTCTGTTGATCATTAAATTCTCTATTTATTATATAAATTCACTATTATATAAATTATTTATTTATTATTAAATTCCCAACTATTATATTTTCTGTTTATTATATAAGTTCTCTATCATTAAATTCTCTATTTATTAATAAATTAGTTACTATTAAATTCTCTATTTACTATTAAATTTTCTACTTTTCATTAAATTCTTTATTAAATTCTCTATCATTAAATTCTCTATTTATTACATAAATTCTTTATTATTGACTTGTCTGCTTATTTTTTAATACTTTATTATTAAATTTTCCATCCTTAAATTCTTTATTTATTATATAAATTCTTTATTATTGACTTGTCTGCTTATTTTTTAATACTTTATTATTAAATTTTCCATCCTTAAATTCTTTATTTATTATATAAATTCTTTATTATTTAATTCTCTATTGATTAATAAATTCTTTACTATTAAATAATCTATTAATAAAGTGTCCATTTATTATTAATTCTTTAATTTTAAAGAATTTGCTATAAAATTCTCTATTTATATAATTATTCCACTCTCCATTATTCAATTATCTATTAATTATTAAAATCCCAAAAATGAAATCCAAATCAATATCCCAAATCTGGCTTGGAATCCCAGCCAGAAAAGCAAAAAGCACATTCCAGCTGCAGCCAAATCCCGGATTTCTCTGGATTCACCACAAAATCCAAACAGGAATTTCGGAGGGAAAATATCCCAGCACTGGAATCAAGCCCTCAAAATCCACCCCGGAGATTTCCCAGGGATTCCCAGATTTTCCCATCCTGGGGATTTCCAGATTCCAAGGGAATCTTGGATTCACCACCATTTTCTCAGCATGGAATGTCCTTGGAGGAAGAAGGTGATGACAAATTCTTCCTCTTCCTACCGAAGCTCATTAGCGTTAATTAATGAGCATTAATTGTGCCATCTCCCAGAATTCCTGCCAGGCTGATCCCAGATTTCTGGAAAACTCGTTTTCCCTGCCCTGGGGATTTTCTCAACACTTTGGAGCAGGAATTTCTGTCGGAATCCAACCACAAAAGCTGGGACGTGTCAGGGCAGGGCCTGGATTGCGAAATCCCGAATTTCCGCTGCCTCGGTTACGGCAGCTCCGGGTTCTGCATCATTTCCTGTGGCCCCAAGCCCTGGAATGGTTTTGTTCTAAAAATAAAAAAGGATTTCGGGTGCAGCTGCAAAGGACAGCCAAAAAACCCCAAAAAGAAAACCAATAAAAACTCAAAAAAAAAAACAACCCCACAAAAACTCAATCAAAAATGTCCCATAAAACTCAAAAAAAAACTCACCAAAAAAAGAGAGAAAAAATCCCAAAAACCCAATAAAAAATGTCCCTTAAAACCCAATAAAAATTAAAAAAAAAAAAAAAACAAGAAAAGAAAACCCAAAAAACACAACCAAAAATGTCCCATAAAACTCAATAAAAACCCAACCAAGGAAAAAAAAGACCCAAAAAACCAAAAATCATAAACCCCCCCAAAAAAACCCAAAAACTCAACTAAAAATGTCCAATAAAACAAGAAAAGAAAACCCAAAAAACACAACCAAAAATGTCCCATAAAACTCAATAAAAACCCAACCAAGAAAAAAAAAACCAAACCACCAAAAATCATAAACCCCCAAAAAACCCCAAAAACTCAACTAAAAATGTCCAATAAAACAAATACAAAAACCTCAAAAAATAGGAAAAAAATCCCAAAACTTCAACCAGAAATGTCCCAAAAAACCCAAGAAAAACCCAAGAAAATAAACCCCAGAAGCTCAACCCAAAAAACCCAAACCAACCAAACCTGAAGTAAATGAAACATGAAAATCCCAAATTATTCTCAAAATCCCCAAAAATCTCCAGCTGCAGCTTTCCTTCTGTGCTAAATATTCCAGAAATTCGGAAAACTGAGTTTTTTAGGAAGCTGGGGGAAGCGGAGGAGGAAGGAATAAAGTTGGGAGATGAATCCGTGGGAAATTCCAGGAGGAGAGGGAGGAAATTCCCACCTTTCCAACAAATGTCAGATCTTCCGTGAAGTTCCCTTCGTAGACCGAGTTGTCTTCCAGGAGCAGAATTCCCGAACCCTTGGGACGAAAGGAAAAGTCGGGAATTCGTGGAATGAACTTCTCACCTGGTCCAATTCATCCCAGAAAAATTTATGGGATGCAGATTCCAAGAATTTTTTTTTTTTAAAAGCCAAACATCTCCTTTTAGTGCTTGAGAGAAGCTCTGGACCTGGTCCAATTCATCCCAGAAAAATTTATGGGATGCAGATTCCAAGAATTTTTTTTTTTTTTTAAAGCCAAACATCTCCTTTTAATGCTTGAGAGAAGCTCCGCGGGAAACCCATGGAGAAGGAGGTCAGGAAACTTGGAACAACAAAATTATTCCATGGATTTTCCAAGGAAAAGGAATAGGGTCACAGGGTCAAACTCGTGGTGCTCCTAATCCTAATCCTTGGGTATTTTAGGGAATTCTTTGGGAAATTATTCCAAGAATACAGTGACTGTGTGGAATCCTGGACTTCCCTGTGGGAAAGGGATCCAGAAGGATCAAAATCCAACTCCTGGCACAGGAGGCATCCCAAGAATCCTTGGAAAATCCCAGAGCTCTGGTAGTGTTGGGAATGTGCCCATTCCATGGAAAATTATTCCAGGGAATAATTCCTATCCACGGGGAATTTTCTGCCCACTGGGATTTATTCCATAGTTTAAGCCCAAGGTTTCTTCGTCCCCAAACCAGTTGGGATCACTTCCAGAGCTGGAATATTTTCCTCTGGAATGAAAATGTCCCATAAAGCCCAATAAAGAACCCAAAAAAAGGAGAAAAAAATCCCAAAATCTCCATTAAAATTGTCCCATAAAACCCAATTAAAAACCCCAAAAAAGAGAAAAAAAATCCCCAAACCTCAATCAAAAACGTCTCATAAAACCCAATAAAAACTATTTTTCCCTAATTTGGGAAGTGGGAATGGGGTTGTTGGTTTTTTTTTTAAGGATGGATTTTTTGAGGGTTGGTTTTTTTTAAGGATGTTTTTATACCAATGCCAATTCCCTTTGCTTTCCCCACCAAATTCCCAATGTTCCATGAACTGGAGGGGTGAATTCCCACTGGAAAAGTAAGGACTTCATGATTTTCAGGAAAGATGGAATGTTATGGAATTCTTGGAATGGTTTGGGCTAGAAGGGACCTTCAGGATCCATGGGCAGGGATCTCCCACTGTCCCAGGGTGCTCCAACCTGTCCTTGGACATTCCAGGGATCCAAGGGCTGCCACAAATCTCTGGGAATTCCATCCTAACCCCTCCAATCCAGGAATTCCTTCCCAATATCCCATCAATCCCTCTGAAAGGGGAGAAGAAACAAGACTTAACCAAGACCTTGTTCTTCCAAATCACGATTAAAATCATGGAATATCCTGAAGGCCCCAAAAGGATCCAAATCCAACCCCTGGCCTTGCACAGACATACCAACAATCCCACCCTTTCCTGGAGAGTTTTCCAAAGATTCTTGGAGCTCTGGCAACCTTTGGAATGTGCCCATTCCCTTGGGAATGTCCATCACGAGCACCCTCTGGGGGCAGAACCTTTCCCTGGTCTCCAAACCTCTTTGTCCTCCAGGATGAATTCATTCGGGAATGAAACCTCAATTTCACCCTCGGAAGTGAACTCCCCATCCCAAGGATTTCCAGATTCCATGGAAATCTTGGACTCACCACCATTTTATCTGCATGGAATGTCCTCTGGTAGCAGAGCCCTGACTGGGTCACCACGATGCCTTCTCCGTGTCTGTGGTCATCCAACCACATCCCGATGTACCTCTCACCTCTGGAATGCAAGGAACACCCAAGTGATGGATTTTCCTTGCTTTCCCAGCACTCAATCCATCAGATTTGTCCTGCTCAGGCTGGTTTTTCCTGACACAATGCTCCGGGCTGGTTGTCCCACACAAACTGAGCTCCGGGAATATTTTCCAAGGGATTCAAGCCTTACATCCCCTTCCCTCACCCATCCCAACTCTGCAGGATTTATCCCACCAAACCCAAAGCTGTCCCACACCTCAGATCCATCCCACCTTTACCTCTCCTTGTCTTCCCAGACTCCGTATCCATTCTTTTTGTCGTTTTCCCACTGTCCTGTGTATTTGAAGGGACGCTCAGCCGAGAAGTTCTCCAGGATCCCAAACCCTTGGCGCACGTTGTCCTTGAAGTAGCCCTTGTAGACCAGATCATTCCCATACCTGCAGGAAGAGGGATGGAATTCCAGCCTGGGAATATCTGACAGCTACTCTTGGAGTAGAAAACCAGGGAAGTGAGGAGATCAGGCTCATCTGTCTCAAAATATTCCAAAGATTTGTCCAACGGCGCTAAATTGAATCCTTGTTTGCTGTCGGGAATGTGCGTCACCCAAACCAGACATTCCAGAGCTTCCCAAATTATCCAAGGACTCAACACACAGGCTTGGAGTTGTCCTGGGAGAGGCCACTCAGGCCTTGACCTCTCACCATCCTGGGCACAGGAATCTCTGGTGAATCCAGGCTGGAAAATCGGATCCATAGGAAGGAGGCCAAGCTTGGATCCAGCTCTTTGTGGTGGATCTTTGTGGCGGCCACCAGCCCTTCCCTGGACTGGTCCCTCTGGGAAGAGCAGCTCCAAGTTGAAGGAGCAGAACATCCAGGTTGGAGGACAGGCCTATCCCATAGGCCCATCCCAGTTGGAATGTGGGGTCTGTCCCACTTGGCACGGAGAAATCAGGGACAGGGATGAGCAGGAACTGGGCACAGCCCAGTGTTCCCAGCAGCCAAAGCATCTGGGGTGACCTCGGAGGAGAAAATGGACAGGCCTATCCCATAGGCCCATCCCAGTTGGAATGTGGGGTCTGTCCCACTTGGCACGGAGAAATCAGGGATAGGGATGAGCAGGAACTGGGCACAGCCAGTTCCCGGCAGCCAAAGCATCTGGGGTGACCTCAGAAAAGGAAATTCCAAGGAAATTCCAAGGAAATTCCAAGGAAACCTCAGCCCCTTCCAGGGCCTAAAGGGGATCCAGGAGAGCTGGAAAGGGACTGGGGACAAGGCCTGGAGGGACAGGACACAGGGAAAGGCTTCCACTGCCAGAGGGCAGGGATGGATGGGATATTGGGAAGGAATTCCTGGCTGGGAGGGTGGGGAGGAACTGGGATGGAATTCCCAGGGAAGCTGTGGCTGCCCCTGGATCCCTGGAATGTCCAAGGAAAGGCTGGAGCATCCTTAGACAGTGAGAGGTGTCCCTGCCCACGGAATGGGATCATCCTTAAGCTCCCAAACAATTCTAGAATTCTAAATGCCCACAAAGCATTTCCAGACCAGGCTCCAAAGATTTCAGGGAACATTTCCCACTTTAAATCCCTGGAACCCCCTTTTCCCTGGAACCCGTCCTGGATTTTACTTACTCACAGATTCCATAGCCCTTCATCTTGCCCTGGTACCAGTGGCACTTGTAGCAGTCGTAGCGGTCCTCGGAGCGCCGCGGGACCAGGCAGATCCCAAACCTGCCAGGAGCACATGGAAAAGGTCAGCGTGGAAAAAGTCGTCATGGAAAAGGTCAACATGGAAAAGGGTGACTTCATTGTAGTGGATGAACTTCTACAACCAATTTGAACTTCATGGGATTGATTTTTTTCTGTAAAAAACTTCTCATTTAAATGAGGTCTTAAAGAGATCTAAAAACAACCTTAAGACGCTTTCTGTGAATAAATTCCCATGGGTTTGGGGATCTGGGATCAGATTCCCACTGGATGGAATGTCTGCATGGAAAAGGTCAGCACGGAGAACAGCGCCTCCATTGTAGTGGACAACGTTTAAAAACCAATTTGAATTTCATGGGATTGGGGTTTTTTTCTGTAAAACTCCTCATTTAAGTGAGATTTATAAAAAGATCTAAAAATAACTTTAAGACACTTCCTCGGAATAAATTCCCATGGATTTTGGGATCTGGGATCAGGTTCCAGCTGGATGGAAATGTCTGCATTGAAAACAGCAACTCCATTGTAGCGGATTAAGTTCAAAAACCAAGGATTGTCCAAATTCCCAATCTTTATGTGCCTGGATCAGCCCTAGCTGGGACACTTTTCCCAGGCGCCACTGGACTTTTTCCAAAGGAAAGCTCATCCCTTTGGGAGCTGCACTCCCAGATCCTCATTGTTCCTTCTCCAGAGTTTCTTTCAGTGCTGGTTTTCCCCCTCTTTCTTCTTTCCCCAATTTAGGGTCTGACGTAAATGTTCTGGGATTCCCAACACAAAGTGTTTGGGATATTTCCCCCCACGTTGAAAAATGAGGAATCCTAAAGTCCTATTTCCAATAAAATTGAGATAAATAATACCTGGATTTCGTGGATTGGTTTCTTAAATCGTGAGAAAAAACTCATTCAAGTGAGGTTTTAAAGGGACCTAAAAATAATTTTAAGACACTTCCTGGGAATTAATTCCCATGGATTTTGGGATCTGGGACCAGATTCCAGCCCCTGGGGTCAGTCACTGCCAGTCCCCTCTCTCCAAGTTCCAACCTCTGGCAGGAACCATTCCAGTTTCTTTTCAAAGCAGGGAATATCCCGTTCTCCAAGGCTTACCCGTGCTCCAGGCCCTCCTGGAAATCCCCGACGTGGTTGCGTCCATCGCGCCACTTCAGCGTCCCCCTGGAACCCAAGGAATTCTCTCACAAGGGACATCACAACATTCCCAGATAGAGCAGCACCTACTAAAGTCCAGCCTAAATATTTAGGCCAGATTAGATGGAGTTTGGATCCCAGTGGAAGGTGCAAGCCTTTCCCCACCCTCCCAGCCAGGAATTCTTTCCCAACATTTAATCCAGACCTCCTCTGGGTCGGTCTGCCAGGAGATGGTGCAACACCAAAACCGTGAGGAGGTTGTTTGACTTTCACCGAGGCTGTTGTTTCAAACACCTCCACGAGACTGGCTCTTTTCCAAGTTTTCCAGAGGATTGGTTGGATGTCTTTGAAATGTCAATATTTTAATTTAGATTTAGATTTACATCTCCTTTGGCTTTGTGGATCAGAATAGAAAAGGGGAGCAGCCAAAGGGGATGAGGGAACAGCTGGAGCTGGGCCAGGTTTAGGTTGGATTTTAGGGAAAAGTTCTTCCCCTAGAGGGTGTCGGGCACTGAACATTCCCCAGGGAATGGGCACATTCCCAAGGCTGCTCCAGGAGTTTGGATGGGGTGGGACTGCTGGGATTTGTGCAGGACTTAAACCCTGTGAGCCCTTCCCACTCAAGATATTCCATAATTTCATGTCTGCTCCAGCCACAAGGATGTTTAAGCCACATCTGAGTGGGAGTCTGGCCATCTCCCAGCCCAGGTCACCCAGAATTCCAGGACAGGCACTGGAGAACTCTGGAATTCCAGGACAACCAGTGGAGAATGCTGATGTTTTTGCCAAAGAGCCCAAATTCCCACTCCCACAGCTCTGCTCACGTGCTCCTCCCTCAGAAATCCCAGAGCAGCCACCAAGGCCAGGACGCTGCTCTGGAACCTTCCAGCAACAAAATCACGGCAGAGGAACTCCAGGAGTGAGAAGGGAACTCAAATCCAAGGAACTGAACACCTGAAGTCCCTGAATTCTGCCAGAAATTTCCTGGGATGCCTCACCTGAGTCACTCCATGGGCAGGAGAGGTTTGGATTAATCCCAGTTTTCCAGCCCTAAGGCAGGACAGGAAAAAAATCTGGAGATGGTTTTGAGGGAGTGAAGGTGGGGATGATCCAAAGGTCTCCTGCCCTGAACAGTTCTTTAGTGCTGATCCAGGGCACAGCGCAATCTCTTCCACATGGTTTTGAGGGAGTGAAGGTGGGGATGATCCAAAGGTCTCCTGCCCTAAACAGTTCTTCAGTGCTGATCCAGGCACAGCACAATCTCTTCCACGGAATATTCAGGATTCAGTTTTGGATTTGGGGTTGGAATTGGATTCAAATCCCTTCCAAGCAATTTATATTCTGGATTCTTTCATTATTTTAAGGCTCTCTCAAAGTGAGTCTCTCTCCAACCTTTTTGCTTCCGGAGCAAACTGTGTAAAACTGTAAACGGTGGAAAATAAAATTTCCCAATGTTTTTGTGGCTGAGGAGCTTGGTCATATTCCAGGTTTCTTCCCCAAAAAAACCCCAGTGTTCTCTATCCTGTGTCCAAAAAGTTTTGGATGGGATCTTGGATTTACAGACATTCCCTCACTTAAACTTGGATTTATTGAACTTTTCCCAATGTTCCCATCTGAGCTTCTTTTGGATTTAAGCTCTTCTTAATTCCTGGAATAAAAGTTTGGATGTTCAAGTTTGGATAAAGTTCAAAAAGGTTTTGATAGTGGAGAATAAAACTGTTCTCCCCAAAATTTTTTTTTTGGGGATTTTCCTCATCATGAGGGTGCGATTTTCATAGCCCAGGCTGAGATCTTGATTTTAGGTCAAGCCTAAATCCTAAGTAGAGACACCAGCTCATGCAGCACCTTTAGGGTGATCAACACCACGTTTTTGGGACAGCCTTTAGGATTTAATTCATACACCACAGATGACACATCCACAATAAATCCCAAGTTTTAGGACTCAGGCTTTGCTAAGCCTGCCCTCAAGGCCAGAATTCCCTCTGGGAATGAGCGAGGCAGGAATCAGAGAGCTGGGCCTGGATTCACGTGCACAACCTCATTAAGAATCAAATTCTGACCTTATCCCCACCCTGGAAGTGCCCAAAAAAAGAGCAGACCCATGCTAAGGTGGTTGAGTGACCTTGGAGACCTTTCCCAACCTTCATGGAAATGCCAAATCAGCACTTCCAACCCTATTCCCACTTGGAAAAGAGGCCCAGAAGGTTCCTTACTTGCCATGGGGGTTCCCCAAGACCCACCTGCCCTTACGGGTGGCCCCCCTGAGCCTGCCCAAAAAGGAGCAGCACCTTCATGATCTGGTTGAGTGACCTGGATAAGTTTGGGTTGACCTTGGAGATCTTTCCCAACCTTCATGGAAACTCCAAGCACTTCCAACCTTATTCCCACTTGGAAAAGAGGCCTAAAATGTTCCTTCCCAGAACCACTCACCCTCATAGGTGGTTACTCCGAGCCAGCCCAGAAAAGGAGCAGCCCCTTCTTGAGTGACCAGGAGAAACACTCACCCTCATAGGTGGTTACTCCAAGCCAGCCCAGAAAAGGAGCAGCCCCTTCATGACTGACCTGGAGAAGTTTGGGTTGACCTTGGAGATCTTTCCCAACCTTCACGGAAACTCCAAACCAGCACTTCCAACCTTATTCCCGCTTGGAAAAGGGGCCCGGAAGGTTCCTTACTTGCCATGGGGCTTCCCCCAGAGCTACTTGTCCTCGTAGGTGGCCACTCTGAGCCAGCCCAGGAAAGGAGATTCCCCTTCATGAGTGATCAGGAGAAGTTAGGGTTGACCTTGGCTATTTCTCCCAACCTTCATGGAAACTCCAAACCAGCACTTCCAACCTTATTCCCGCTTGGAAAAGGGCCCCGGAAGGTTCCTTACTTGCCATGGGGCTTCCCCCAGAGCCACTCGCCCTCGTAGGTGGCCCCGCGGAGCCGTCCCTCCATGCGGAAGACGTAGGTGAAGAAGCGGCGGGACGGGGCCTCGCTGCCTTCCCCGCTGCGGCCCCAGAGTGGAAAATCCCGCTTCCCGTTCAGCGCCTGGCGCACGGCCTGCTCCAGCTTCCACCGCCACACGGCCTGCGGGCACGGAAAACAGGGAATGAGCACGCATCCCAGGAAAATCAACTGCAGACAACTTCAGGAAAGCAGTGAGGAACTTGTGGGTTCCCATCAAAGCCCATCTGGAGCTTCCACAAGGGTTCTCCTGGAAGTTAAATGCTGCAGCAAGGCACAACAGCTGTGAGGGAGGAATTTCCACTTGGATGCTAAAAAACAGGGGAAAATTCCACCTGAATATGAAAAAAAAGAAATACAAATTTCAAGCTGATTTGCCTATGGGATAGGCCTGTCCTTCAGGAAAAACAGCAGGAAACCGATGGGTTCCCACCAACATTCCTCACCAGCCATCAACTCTGAGCCACCTCTGGCCATCTAATCTAGGATTTTTTTGGAGAAGGAGCCAAAAATCCCAAGCCATCCTCACCAGAATTATTATCCTGTTTTAAATAATAAAGAGATGGGAAAATCCCAAAGCCTGACCTTCATCTGAGGGTCCTTGGTGGAGAGGATGAACGTCTCTTCCGGGGTTGTGATGCGTAGGCTGTGCCTGGAAGGGGAAAAAAAAAAGATGGAAAACACAATTCCTAGTCCATCAGCTCTTCCCATTCCCCTCCTGGAGATCCTGGTGCTTTCCCAGGTGGTTCTTCTTCAGAGATCTCAAGTTCTCCGGGGCTGGATTACACAATTTTGGGATTCACTGGCAATTAATAGGATGAGAGGGAACGGCTTCAGGTTGTGCCAGAGGAAGGTCAGGTTGGACATCAGCAGGAATTTTTTCATGGGAAATGTGGTCAGGCATTGGAATTGCCCAGGGAGGTTTGGAGTGCCCGTTGCTGGAGGTGTCCAAGGAATCCTGGGCTGGGAACAAGGTGGGGATGGGACACAGGTTGGATTTGATGATCCTGGAGGGATTTTCCAACCTCGAAAATTCTGGGATTTCAATCTGAGCAAATTCCAAGCTGATGAGATCCCATTATCCATATCCCAATGCCACGGCTTGGAAAGGAGATGGGACAAAGCTTTGGATCATTTTCCCATCTACCTGAACATTTTTAGTCCTTTTTTTTAACTCCCAGTGGGAATTTCTCACTCACAATCCTGGAGCCGATTTCTCTCCGCAGTTTTCATCCACCCACACCAGCTTCAGATCAAAACTCTGGAAGCTATTTCCCTGGGAAAAAAATGGGAAAAGATGGTCCTGTGACTGCTGGAAACATCCATGGAATGGCAGAGCTGGAGTGGCAGCACAAATTCCCAACTTTTTGGTCCATCCGTCCCACATTGGGAGGAGAGACCTTGGAAATGGAAAAGCCATCAGAAAAGGAGGGAAGTTCTCATTTGAACACTCCTAAAGCTCTTCCAAAATTCCATAGTCACATCCAGGAGTAAAACATTCCCACGTGACCCTGATCCCCACAGGAATTCCTTCCCTATCACATGGCAACGTTCCCAAATCATTCCAGCCAATATTCCCAGAGATTTGTGGTTGCCCACCCCTGGAAGTATCCAAGGAAGGTTGGACAAGGCTTGGAGCAACCTGGGATGGTGGGAACCATGGAATGGGGTGGGAATGGATCGTCTTTAAGCTCCCTTTCCACCCAATCCATTCTGGGATTTATTTAGGATTTGGACTCCAGGTGGCACCACCAGAAATACCCCCGAAATCCCAAATTTAAGGAGTTACTTTTGGGATCAGCAGCACCCAAACAGAACTCCAATGATTGGAATAAAAGGAAAACCTTAATTTCTCATCTCCTTTCCCTGCCTCAGCTCCAGGTGTTCACACAGAGCTGCTGCCTGGTGGGATGGAGTTTTCCAAGGAATTCCACAGTGTTTTCCCAAATCTGGGAGAACAGAAAAGGGACATCAAAATCCCCAACCAGGTCAATCCCAATTCAGTTGAATTCCCAAACCTCCATAAAGCTCAACAGCAGCAGGTGAAACACAGATGGAAATCATGGATTGAACACAGAGATAATTCCATGGATTTGCCGATCCTGTGTTTCCAGCCCAGCCACCAGCACGATCCAATCTGGAATTCCCTCATGGGAATACATCCCCACACCCCCAAAATTCCCAAATTCGCCCCAAAACCAACTCCAACGTCTGCAGCCGTGGCACAAACATGGAAAATCCTGATTATCCCAATACATGGGAGCTCATGGAATGTCATCCCTGATCCATCAGATCCCTGGCCAAAATTCCCTGTGGAAAAGGGTGTGAACCACTCAAAAGGTGCCTGTGATGACGGATAATCCGCATTTCCTGGGAAAATGTTCTGTGGATCTCCTCTACTCCTTCCCTGATTTCCTTTATTTTCCAGAGCCAACCACACTCAGATGGATCTGAGACAAAGTTTTCCCAACTTTTCCAAAGAGCCAAACTCCGCTGTGTGTTCAACATCAAAAAACTGGAATTTTACCACCATTCCTATGGAAATTCCTGTCACTTCTGCCACTCCATGGGAATTTTAGGTCCATTTATCCGTGCTCCCTTCCCTTCCAGGATCCTCCCTCTGGAGGATCCCGGACTCACCTGGATGAGCACCAGGACGTCGTCGAAGAGCAGGAGCCGCTCGGAGCGGGCGGTGCCGGAAGCGATGGGAAGGTTCCTGCTGTCCTCCAGGAGCCTCCTCTCGGGGACACACAGCACATCCTGGAGCAGCAGGAAAAACCAGGATTGGGGGAGGACATGGAATTCCAGGCAGGAATTCCTGCAGGGATCAGCTGGCTCGGGGTTCCAGTGACAGTGCCATGCTTGGGACACAAATTAGTCTTCCACCCAACTCTGCTCTGTCAACTTCAATCCTCAAATTCCCAATCCATACCAAATTCCCAATCCATACCAAATTCCTGATCCATACCAAATTCCCTCTGGCTCAGGGTTCCAGTGACAGTGACACACCTGGGATACAAACTCGGCTTTGAAACCCCCACCGAGTTCCTCCAGCTCTTCCACCCAGCTCTGCTCTATTGAATTCCAGCCTCAAATTCCCAATACATACCAAATTCCTCATCCTTATCAAATTTGAGATCCATACCAAATTGCTGATCCATATTAAATTCCCAATCCACTTTGAATTCTTCATCCTTATCAAATTCCCGATCCATACCAAATTCCTGACCCATATCAAATCCCCCATTCACTTCCAATTCCTGATGCATATCAAATTCACAATAAATATGTAATTCCTCATCCTTACCGAATTCCGAATCCACTTCAAATTCCTCATCCACATCAAATTCCTGATCCATATCTAATTCCCTATCCCTACCAAATTCCTCATCCTTACCAAATTCCCCATCCACACCAAATTCCCAATCCCTGTTCCTTTCCCTCGGGACTCACGGTGAATTTGTAGCCCAGGGATTTCCAGAGCTCCTTGGTGAAGGCAGCTTCATCCAGGACCTGGCTGATGAAGGATTCCAGCTTCCCGAATTCCTGTGCCACAGTGGCCACCACATCCCGCTCCGACCCCTGGGAAAAGACAGGAAAACTCCAGGAATGCTGAAAATTTGGGTCAAGGGAGGTCCAGGCTGGATTTTAGGGAATATTTATCCATTTAAATATTAAATCAAAATATTTATTTATTTTATATTTAGCAACATCCAGGCAAGATATTCAGGATATTTGGGAATATTCAACAACGTGTCCCTCCTGGAATGAGGGAGTTCCAGCCTGGATTTTAGGGAATATTTAGCAGAGAAGGTCCAGGTTAGATTTTAGGGAATATTTAGCATCCTGGATCAAAAATTTTAGGGAATATTTAGCGTCCATCCTAGATCAAAAAAGGTCCAGGCTGGATTTTTGGGAATATTTAGGAAAGGGGTTCCAGACTGGATTTTAGGGAATATTTAGGAAAGGAGTTGCAGATTGGATTTTTGGGAATATTCAACAACGTGTCCATCCTGGACTAAACAAGTTCCAGGTTATATTTTCAGGAATATTTAGCAAAGGAGATCCAGATTGAATTGTAGGGAATAGTTCTTCCCACAAAACCCATCCAGAAGATCCACCGAGCATCCCAGGGAATTCCCACCTCCTGGAGCTGCTCCTGGAGCTGCGAGAGGAGCTGCAGGTAGCTCTGGATGTGCTCCCGGAAGGGTTTGTGGAGCACCAGGTGCAGGGCCAGGCCCAGGGAGCTCTCCGAGGTGAAATCCCGCAGGAATTCCTTCAGCACCGCCTTGTGCAGCTTCCAAGCCTCGCTGCAAAATTGGGAATGATGAGAAAAGGTCGTTCTGTTTTCCAAACTTTCTGTGTTTGGCAAGGATGGAGAAAGGCGTGAAAAATTTGGGGATGCACTCCTTAGAAATTCACATTTGCAGTTGATGCTTCCATAAAAATCTGGGATTAGTGGGAATTTCCTGCCAGATTCCCACCCCTTCCCTAAATCCCCAAATCCTAAATTTCCAACTTTGGAAGGAGCTGGGGGCAGTTGGAAAGAGCGAATCCACCCATATATAACAGGAACCATGGAAAAATTGGGAATGTGCTCCTTAGAAATCCACGTTTTCACTCCCTGCTTCCATGAAAGTCTGGGATTAGTGGGAATTTCCTGCCACATTCCCATCCCTTTCCTAAATCCCATATTCCAAGTTTCCAATTCCCGAAGGAGCTGGGGGTGGTTGGGGAGAGGAAAATCCAATCCTGGAATTGTCCAAGGCTGGAAAGGGCTTGGAGCAACCATAGTGGGAGTTGGCCCAGGATGGGATGAGAGGATTTTTTTGGGAATTTTCCCAACCATTCTGGAATTCTAGGATTCTCTGGTGTCCCCGTATCCCTAGGATTCCCAAAATTCCCAAGGATTTTCCACCCGCTGACCTCTTGCTCTTGGCGGCCTGCTCGAAGCCCTGGACCACAACAAAGTTGGCGAAGGTGACGAAATACCTGGAAAAAATTCCAATAAGGAGTTTGAGAGGGAAATTCGAGATAAATTTATGGATTCCAACTTTTTGGGAAGTCCCCTTAATCCCATAAAAGCACCTCTGGAATAATACAGGATTGGGATCAAAGGTTGGATCGGATCTCGGAATTCTTTCCCAATCTTAATTCCAGGACTTTTTGGCAGACTTGGATAAGTCGAAAGTGCTGACAATCCCGGGATCCATTTCCATCAGATTTTATGGAATGAAATTCCATAAATTAATTTTCTGCTCTGAGCTGTTCATTCACAGACTCTTCACCACAGAATTCCCAATAGAACTGGGAAAATTTGGGAATTCTGGGATGGAAATAATGGAGTTGTCATACTCCGGCTGAGGTTTATTTTTCCAAGTAAAACTTGGAATTTTTTTTTCCATCTCATATTTCCCAAGATTTTCTTCCAAGATCTGCATTTTCTGTATCAAAAATTCCCAGCAAATCCTACATTTTCTCCCAGCAAACTCTATCTTTTCCCAGCAAATCCCACATTAAACCTGGGTTTAATTCCAAAAAAAACAGAAATAAAATCTCAGGAAAATTCCTTGGGATCATCCAAAACCTCATCCACCTGGAAAATCCCAAACTGGGAAATCCCAAACTGGGAAAGCTTTGGCCGCCTCCACAGAGAAGAAAAAATGTAGAATTGAAGATTTTTGCAGAATTTCAGCTCTCCATAAAATTTCATTCCCGCTGGGATCTCCGATCCCGATCCAAAACCACAAAATCCTGGAAAAACCACACCCAACCCATTTTCCAGGGATATTTTCGCTCTGTGAGCTCTCATCCCGATTTTTCCCGCTATATTCCCGCTTCCCTCTCCAGAACAACCCCAATGGGATCAACCCAATCCCGTTTTCCCAAATATTCCGGCGCTCACTGGATGTAGAGGCTGAGGAAAACTTCTCCTTTCCAGAGGATATAAAAATCCCGGATACAGCCGGAATTTTCCAACTGGGATTTCCCCCTCAGGATCCGGGAATTCTCCTCCGTGAAATTCCAGAGGGTTTGGAAGCGATCGTTGAGGAGCACCAAGAGCTGGAAGTTCTCCTTTTCCTTCGGATCCTGCGGCTCTGGAGGGAAAAATTGGGAAAATCCTGTGGAAAGGTGGAATTCCAAAGGGATTTTGTGGAATTTTGTGGTTGAGAAATTCTGGGAAATGGGAAATTGCAGGAATTTTTGGAGCCGTTTTCTTTAGAAGGAAAGGATTAAATTATTTGGGAATGTAGAGAGAAGAAAATGGGAAGAATGGGGGGAAAAGGTGGAAATTCCAGGAATTTTTGGAAGCCATGGAGCCGTTTTTGCTGGAATGGGACAAACTCTATCCCAAACTCTTTGGACGCTCATCCCACTGCCCCAGAGGTAAAATTCCCCCCCTTTTCCCAAGGAACCATTCCCAGTTTCCTTGGAGTCATCCCAAAAAGAACTCCTGGAAAAGCCCCACCCAGGAAAATCAGGGCCAGGAATTTCCCTGGGTTTGGAATTTCCCTGGATCAGGAATGCTGATGCCAGTGAAAACACAGATTGATCCCAAAAAACCACTATGGCCTCATTCCCTATTCCTGATTTTAGGGAAAACATTCCCAGAAATCATTTCCTCTTCCCAGCAGGAATTCCAGCTGAAAATCCCTTCCCAGATCAATTCCAGGTGGGAATTCCAGAGAAAAATTCCCAGAATTTACCTGCCTGGAGCAGAGGTTTGAGGATGAGGGCGTCGATCCGGGCCAGGCAGGAGGAGAAGTTTTCCTCCAGCTGGAGCAATGATCCCAAAATTCCTGAAATTCCAGCTGTGGACATGGCCTGGAAAACAGCAGGAATAAATCAAACCCCTGGAAATCCATCGGATCCCATCTCCAAGGTTTTTCCTTGGATTTCCAGAAAAGCTTCCCTGCCCTTGGGCCCATTCTTGGGTGGGGCTGATCCCAAAAATCTTTGGGAAAAGTTGGAAGAGGATTGGAAACCAAACAGCTCAACCAGAGACAACCCAGCCTAGTTTTCCTGAATTTTCCCCAATTCCCAATGATCTCAGAGCTGCAAAAGCCTGGAATTAATTCCTTGTGTTAATTCTGATGGGGATTTTCCCATTCCAGTAGGGTTTTTTCAGGAGAAAATCCCAGAAATCCAAAGGGCGAAGGAGAAATCTCTTCGAACCCAAATCATCCCCATCCCTCTTTTCCCAAATTCTCAATGATCTCAGGGCTGGAAAAGCCTGGAATTAATTCCTTGTGGTAATCCTAATAGTTCCAGAGGGGAAAATCTCAGAAATCCAAGGGATGAAGGAGAAATCTCTTCCCACCTCTCTCATTTTGATTCTCATCCCTCTTTTCCAAAATTCCTGATGACCCCAGGGTCACAAAATATTGGGAAAAGCCTGGAATTCATTCCTTCAGGAATTAATGGAATCCATCAGGATTATTTTTCTTTTCCCAAAGACAATTCCCCCAATTCCCAAAGAAAATTCCCCCAGTTCCCAGAAAGAAATCCCACAATTCCTGGAGGAATTTACCACAATTCCCAGAGAAATTCCCCCCCAGCGCTTTCCTGCCCAAAGCCTTCCCCAAGGGAATTCCGGGTGCTTTGCATGAGGCTTTTCCAACACCTTTGGAATGTCAACATTCCCAAACAGGTCAGGCCTGTGGCTCAGCTAGGCTGGGATTAACTAGAGCTGGTTTTAGCAACCAAACGAAAACCCGGGAGCTTCCCGAGGTTTATTTTGCTGCTATTCCCAAAAACCCAGCTCTGGAATCAGGAATCTGCAAATTCCCAAGTTCAGTCCCTGTTCTTCCCTGTTCTTCCCGAATTTCTTTGGAATTCTGTATTTTTTTGGCCTCCAAAATGCACTTGAAGCCAGATTTTCGGGATAATCCCACCCACATTCCCCAAAATTCCCATTTTCCTGCTCTTTGGGATTGAAGGCATTCCAGGGAGCAGCTGCACATTCCAAAGGCGTTTTTCCTAAACAGCCTCAGCTTTAGGCCAGGCCAACATAAACCAAATTTAAACCCAGTTTAAACCCAGCTCCAAATTAAACCCAAGTTTAAACTCAGTTTAAACCCAACCCCAAACTAAACCAAAGTTTAAACTCAGTTTAAACCCAGCCCCAAACTAAACCAAAGTTTAAACTCAGTTTAAACCCAACCCCAAACTAAACCACAGTTTAAACCCAGCCCCAAATGAAACGAAAGTTTAAACCACAGACTAAACCCAGCCCCAAAATACACCAAAATTTAAACCCAGCCCCTCCTCTGCCTTTAATTCCTTATTATTTTTAAAAAGCCTCCAAAGCGCCGCTTTCCCCTCAAAACCGAGCCTTGGATCCCCACTTCCCACGGAATTCCGGAGCTCCTGGAAGCGTTTTTTTTGGGATCACCTCCTCCCGAACCGAAACCTGCTAAACCGAGCTTATCAACCCGGCTTTAATTCTTGATCTCTTGGCACCGCCGCGGCTTCCCCAGCTTTGTTTCATCCGCCCTGGAATTCCAGGCGAGGCTGGAAAATCCCTCCCTGCAGGAGCAGGATCGGGGAGTCCCGCCTAGAAAAGCCGCGGTGGGAGCAAGGACGGGGTTTAGACTGGGCTTTAATTTTCGCCGCCAGTGAAATTCCTGATAAAGAACTGAAATTCCTTAAGGAAAAGGGGGGTTTTGTGGGAAAATCCGCTCCGGAATTTGGAACTCGATCCCGGTTCTACCCGGGGAGAACATTCCCAAATTTCCTCCGGACTAAATCAAACTGATCCCAAAACCAAGCAGGAAATCCCAAAACGTGCTGGATTCTGGAGGGACCCACCTGGAATGAGACAGCGCAGGAAAATTCCCGGCTGGGAAAATCTCCAGGAGGCGCAGAAATCCGGGAATTGTCGGTGTTCCCGAGGCTGGAACTTTTCCCTCCCATATTTCCCTCCCACATTTGGAGGCAGAGCCCCAAATCCCAAACACCCACGGGAGCCGGGATTACAAAACCCCAAATCTTGGCTCCCCAAAGTTCCTGCTCCTCCTATCCCACTCCCCTCCCCCCCCCCCCCCCCCCCCCCCCTTTTTTTTTTTTTTTATTTAAATAATCCCGGATTTTGTCAGGCCGGATTTTGTCATCCCGGATTTTGTCATCCCGGATTTTGGGGAAGTTGAACTTTCGGGAAGTTGAAATTTCGAGAAGCGAAAGGAAAAAAGGTCAGGAGGAGTTTTGGGCAAGTTTCGCTTCTCAGCCTCGCTCTGTTCCCACAGTGCTCCTCCCAAAAAAAAACTTTGGGATTTTTTTTTCCTCCTCTTTCCAGGCTCGCTCCCATTTGCTGGGAATTCCAGTAATTCCTTGGAAAAGGAGATTTCTCCTGCCATTCACAGGCGGCGCTTCCCTTCCGCATTAAAACCCCAAAACCAACCCCAAATTTCCCGAATCCCTCGGTCAGGAGCTCCCAGAGTTCTCTGCTGCACCTCAGCCTTTAACTCTTTCCCTTCCTCCTAAAAAAAAAAAAATAAAAAAATCCTAAATCCAACCTTAAAATTCCCAAATCCATACATCAGGAGGTCCCAGGTATCTCAGCCACCTTTAACCATTTCCCTTCTCCCTAAAAACCCCCGAACTTCCCAAATCCCTCGGTCCCAGAGTTCTCTGTGCAGCTCCGCCACCTTTAACTCTTTCCCTTCCTCCTAAAAATCCTAAATCCAACCCTAAAAATCCCAAATCCATCGGTCAGGAGGTCCCAGACACCTCAGCCACCTTTAACTCTTTCTCCTCCTCCTAAAACCCCTAAACCCGACCCCAAAATTCCCAAATCCTTTTCTCAGCGGGTCCCGGAGTTCTTTGCTGCAGTAGAAATTATCTTCCGCTCTCCTAAAAATCCTAAATCCAACCCCAACATTCCCAAATCCATCGGTCAGGAGATCCCGGACACCTCAGCCACCTTTAACCATTTCCCCTCCTCCTTAAAACCCTAAATCCCGCCCCGAAATTCCTAAAACCTTTTCAGGAGGTCCCAGCCCCAGGGACCATTTCCCCGCCTCCTAAAAAAACCCTAAAACCAGCCCCAAACTCCCAAATCCTTCTCTCAGGAACTCCCAGGGCTCTCTGCTGCACCTCAAGCTTTAACTCTTTCTCCTCCTTCTAAAAATCCTAAATCCAACCCCAAAATTCCCAAATCCTCTCAGGAGATCCGCCACCTCAGCCACTTTTAACCATTTCCTCTCCTCCTGAAAACCCCAAAAACAACCCCAAACCCACAAACCCCTCGGTCAGGCGGTCCCAGAGTTCTCTGCTGCACCTCAACCTTTAACTCTTTCCCCTCCTCCTAAATCCAACCCCAAAATTCCCAAATCCATCCCTCGGTGGATCCCAAAGTTCTCTGCTGCAGCCATTTTTGACCATTTTCCCTCCTCCTTAAAACCCTAAACGCGACCCGAAAATTCCTAAAACTTTTTCAGGAGATCCCAGACACTTCAGGCCCAGGAACTCTCTCCATTCCTCCTAAAAAACCCTAAAAACAACCCCAACATTCCCAAATCCTTCTCTCAGGAACTCCCAGAGTTCTCTGCTGCACCTCAACCTTTAACTCTTTCTCCTCCTTCTAAAAAACCCTAAATCCAACCCCAAAGTTCCTAAAACCTTTTAAGGAGACCCCAGACACCTCAACCACCTTTAACTCTTTCTCTTCCTCCTAAAAAATCCTAAATCCAACCCTAAAATACCCAGATCCATTCCTCAGGAGATCCCAGGCACCTCAGCCCCAGGAACTCTTTCCGCTCCTCCTAAAAACCCTAAATCCAACCCCAAACCCACAAATCCATCCCGCAGGACATCCCAGAGTTCTCTGCTCCAGCTCAGCCACTGTTAACTCTTTCCCTTCTTCTTAAAAAACCCTAAATCCAGCCCTAAAAATCCCAAATCCATCCCTCAGGAGGTTCTGGAGTTCTCTGTGCACCTCAGCCACCTTTATCCATTTCCCTTCTTCCTAAAAATCCTAAATCCGACTCCAAAATTCCTAAAACTTTTTAAGGAGACCCCAGACACTTCAGCCACCTTTAACTCTCTCCCTTTTCCTAAAATCCTAAATCCGACTCCAAAATTCCCAAATCCATTTCTCAAGAGATCCCAAACTTCTCTGCGCACCTCAGCCGCCTTTAACCACTTCCTTTCCTCCTAAAAAAATCCTAAATACAACCCTAAAATTCCTGAAACATTTTCAGGAGTTCCCAGACACCTCAACCCCCGGAACTTGTTCTGCTTGTCCTAAAAAACCCTAAAAACAACTCCAAAATTCCCAAATCCTTCTCTCAGGAGCTCCCAGAGTTCTCTGCTGCACCTCAACCTTTAACTCTGTACTTTCTCCTAAAAAACCCTAAATCCAACACCAAAGTTCCTAAAACCTTTTAAGGAGACCCCAGACACCTCAACCACCTTTAACTCTTTCTCTTCCTCCTAAAAAATCCTAAATCCAACCCCAAAATTCCCAAATTTTTGCCTTCCAAGTCTAGAATCCCAGGATTTTCATGTTCCTGGGAAACAGGACATGGAGCTGTGATCCCAAAACCCAATCCCACTTTTTTTCACCACAACAATGCAAACCTTTCCCTAAAGGATGAGGGAGGGGTTGGAAAACAAATCTCGAGAAAAAACCGGGATCAGCAGTGGGAATTTGCTTTGAAGAGCTGTTGGAAACCAGGACAGAATTCCAGGATTAATTCCAGAAAATTCCTTTTTTAGGAAAATCCCCTTGGGATGAGCAGGAGGATTTAGGGAAGAGTGGGATGGAATGGGCCAGGAGAAGCTGGAATTCCATGAGAATTCCCACGGCAGTTCCCCCTCCTGGCTGCCACTGGAATTTCTCCAGGAGCTCCAGAACTGGTCCAGCTCGACTGACAGGCCCCAGGAATATTTTATTCCCAGGGAATTCTCAGCCCTTGGATCAGGATCAAGGATTTGTCCCTTCCTTTGGAGCAATCCAGGATGGATTCGTCCTGTTCCAGCTTTTCCAAGGGCGTTGTCCAAACATTCCTTGAGATCCGTCACCACCGGGGTGATTTTTCCTGTGGCCTCAGGAGTTGGTGGCCTTGGAATGACCTTTCCATCCACATCCGACCTTTCCATCCACATCCAACCTTTCCATCCATCTCCAACATTCCCATTCATCTCCAACCTTCCCATCCACATCCAACCCTTCAGAACCTTTCCCAAACCTTCCCAGCCTTCCCATCCACCTCCAACCTTTGGATGTGGAGGAGAGACAGGAGAGTTGAAGTCTTGGAATGCCCTGCTCCGGAGAACCTTTGGAGGTCCTTTCCATGCCAGACATTCCAGGACTTTTTTCCTGTGGCCACACAAGTTGGTGGCCTTGGAGTGACCTTTCCATCCCTATCCAACCTTTCCCACCCCTATCCAACCCTTCCAAACCTTCCCATCCATCTCCCACTTTTCCCATCTACCTCCAACCTTTCCAAACCCTTCCCAACCTTTCGCATCCACATCCAACCCTTCAGAACCTTTCCCAATCCTTTCCAACCTTTCCATCCCTATCCAACCTTTCCCATCCATCTCCAATCTTTGGATACAGAGAAGAGACAGGAGAGACAAAGTCTCTGAATTGGTTGCTCTGGAGAACCTTTGGAGGTTCTTTCCATCCCAAACATTCCAGGACTTTTTTCCTGTGGCCACACGAATTGGTGGCCTTGGAGTGACCTTTCCATCCCTATCCAACCTTTCCCACCCCTATCCAACCCTTCCAAACCTTCCCATCCATCTCCCACTTTTCCCATCTACCTCCAACCTTTCCAAACCCTTCCCAACCTTTCGCATCCATCTCCAACCTTTCCCAGTTCCATGGAGACAACCTGGCCCTGTCCCACTGGGCTGGAAGCCACCTCCCAAGGTGAGGGACATCCATAACGATCCACAAAAAATAGGATTTGGGATCATCCAGCTCCTGCTCCTGCCCAGGCCATCCCAAAACATTTCTGGGATCATCATCCGAACATTCCTTGGGTTCCATCAGAACCTGGAGACACCAGGTCCCCTCAACCCAGGGAATTCCCCCTTTGTATCCTATTCCTGACATTCCATCGGGACCAGCAGGGATTTGGGAATGTTTATCCCACCATCAAATCCCATTCCTGATATTTCATCCATCTCAGGGAATTTGGGAATATTTATCCCACCATTGTGCCCCATTCCTGATGTTCCAGCAGGAATTGCAGGGATTCAGGAATATTTATCCCACCTTCTATCCCATTCCCAACTTTCCATCTATCTCAAGGATTTTGGGAATATTTATCCAACCATCATAACCCATTCCTGATGTTCCATCTAATTTAGGGATTTTGGGAATATTAATCCTCCCATTCCATCCCATTGCCAACATTCCATTAAAACTGCAGGAATTTGGAAATATTTATCCCATTCCCAACATTCCATCGGAACCTGCAGGGATTTGGGAATATTTATCTCATTCCCAACTTTCCATCCAACTCAAGGATTTTGGGAATATTTATCCCACCATCATATCCCATTCCTGATGTTCCATCCAGCTCTGGGATTTGGGAATATTTATCCCACCATTCTATCCTATTCCCGATGTTCCATCAGGACCAGCAGGGATTTGGGAATATTTATCCCATTCCCAATTTTCCATCCAGATCAAGGATTTTGGGAATATTTATCCCACCGTTCCATCCCATTCCCAACATTCTTTCCAATTTAGGGATTTTGGGAATATTTATCCCCCTGTTATATCCCATTCCTGATGTTCCATCCCATTTAGGGATTTTGGGAATAATTATCCCACTGTTCTATCCCATTCCCAACATTCCACCGGAACCTGCAGGGTTTTGGGAATATTTATCCCGTTCCCAACTTTCCATCCAACTCAGAGACTTGGGAATATTTATCCCATTCCCAATGTTCCGTCCACC